TCCTGATGGGCCAACATAATAGATGACTCCTTTATTTAAAGGAGAAGCATGTGGTCCAATAAGAAGGGATAATATACTAAATGCTTGCCATGCTGATGCTGTAGGTGGAGAGGTAATGATGGTGAGTAGAGGTTCTTAACTGGATGTCAGAACTAAACTGGGACCAAATATGGTTTCAGACATATGGTGGTACAGTGCTGAGACCTCAGTTTTCCAAGAATAGGGCATCTGAGCCTTTTCAGAATAGTGGTACTGATTAGACCTGGATCATTGGCATTGACAGTGACAGTGATTGATGTGCTTGTTGGATCAAAACACTAATTTACTGAAAAGCTAACATCCTCTGCAGAGATACTCTCTGTACTGAAGCGATCCTGGGCTCCAGAATAAGATGACAGTTATTCAAAAAACAAAAACAACAACCAACCAAACAAAAAACTTCTGCAACTTGAGGACAAGTAATCATCACTTTGTGTGCCTTGTCTCAGCTTGAGAATGGGCTTGTTTGGGAGGGTGGTCTGGATCATAGTTAGTGAAAACACAGTAAATCTATACCAATAACCGTGGGCTATAAAGAGTTCCAGGGGCCATGACAGGGTGTACGTTAGACTGTTCAGGACTGCGAAGAAATGAGGGAGACACCATGGTGCTTTCTGTGTAACTGAGTGATGGTATTACACACCTGACTTCTAATCTGGATGGTGTGAGGAAGAAGGCTGTGTTAAAGTAGTGGTAGTTAATGCTGATGCTGCTTTCTTTTTGTTCATTTCCTCTTTCTGCTACGTTTTCTGGCTTGGGAGAAACACGCTTCTTCCTTCCCAGGTGCCCTCTCCCAGTGGTCAGTGGGAAAGTGTGAGGGCTTGGTCCTGTGCAGTAACTCTATTTATTTATTTATTTATAGTTTTGGTACCCCTGAACTGACAATGAGGTGTCTCATTGTGTGAGAATCTTAATGTAGAGTATTTGGGAACAAATTCTACCATGTGCAAGTCTGTGGATGCAGGGAAACAGTTAAGTTGCACAGACAAAGTGACTGGATAAGGACAGAGAGCCTGCTGTACCAGCTGACTGGTTTTGTAGGAGCTCTCTGAACAAAAGTGCGTAAGTTTGTGAACATGCACTCTGGAGACTGCTTCCCTCATTTTCTGGTAACATGGCAGTTGATGCTAGAACAGGTTATCTAAACTATTTGAAAAAATTGCATGTTGTGAAAACAGCTTTGGGTGCTGGTTGTTCAAAGAAAATGAGAAAACCTTTTTGCTTTTCCTGAGGCTACAATGCCTACATACTTTTTTTTTTTTTTTTTTTTTTTTTTTTTTTCCCTGTGTGTTTATATTCTAAATTATTTTTGATTTCAGGATTACTTAGGTCTAACTATGATCTAACTGTTGACTTCTTGTTAAAATAGGAGCTTACTTTCAGGGAAGGAAAAATAAAATTTTTGATAAAGTGCTTATATGATGTTAAATAACAGAAAACTAAAGATATGTATATCTAACTGGGAGAATGCAACAAAATGGTGATATGTGCAGATAAGAGATACTGTTTTCCAGCTAAGAAAGAGGGAAAACAAACAAACAAACAAACATTTATAGTTGCCTTTTAAAAAAAAAAAAAAAGTTGAAAAATCTAAATGTGGAATAAAAAGTCATAAGTGATAGTGACAGTCCTAAGCAGATTATTTTTTGACTGGAAAAAAATCATGGTCTCTTTTAAAGTGGATCCAGTTGATTTCACTTCCAGTTGGGTGGGAACATATTTTGCTTGCAGCTTAAAGTGTTATCTAAGCACTTGTAAGAAAATGTAAATTTGGTCCTGTAAAAATTAGTTTAAGTGGATTATTGTATGTATATGTGCATCACAAAAAGGGCATGAATGAGTGAGAGTTGTTACATTTGTCACTATTTGGAGTAATTTTGAGATTGCTAATGGTCATCAGTCAAGCTAGCCACCTTTGTCACCCGTTTTCCTTAGTTACCTAAGAACCACCCAGGTATAGCTGAAAATCTTCAAATCTTCATCCAAGAAAATCTTCATTCTGACTGGTCTCTGCATGATATAAGAACTAGGCCTATATTTTCAGAAGGTGCTTTATTTATTTATTTTTTTTTCTTCTTAACCTTTATTTTCATTTCACAGTTGATGATTGGAGAGTAATTCCCTCTTAACCACTTTACAAGGTCACCAGTGAATTGAATAAAATATGAAAGACTTTTTCCTCAAAACAAACAAAGCACACAATCATAAAATTTTAATCTAAGATACTTGCCTATAATTGCTCATTAGTAAACACAGATTTTCTTTAATACCTCCTACCTTTCAGGTCTAAAATCACAACTAGAATGTCTGTAGGTAGATACGTGTTTTGAGACATTAGGTAGTGTCACTGGAAATGTTGGTTGAAGCTCATTGTATTCTGGGTAAATATATCCCATCTCTACCAGTGTGTAAATTTACCACAGCTAAGTGAAATGTATAACTGAAGAGCGTAAATTAGAGTGCAGTCTTGTAGATTTTTACTGCTTGGCCTGTTTATGGTAATTAAAAATTACCATGTAAGCATTCCATAGACAAATAATCTTTTTTCACCTTGAAACAGTTTAAAGCCAATAAGGATCTGTCTTGGAAATGCTTTGACATTTTAGTGGGTTTGATCATCAAATTTTATCACTCTTCTAAAATTGTTTTTCTCTGAAATTTTCTCATAAGCAACAGAAAAACACCATTTAGTGTAGAGAAGTAGCGAAGGAGGAAAGCCTTTTGAGATGGGTGGTATATTAGGGGGCTGTGACTTTCAGCATCTTATCACCTAAAAGTGAAAGGATATTAAACTAAGGATGAATAATCTCTGCCTTATGTGCACGCTGCTGATTCTTTCATTTTCTTTGTGTCTTATAATGCTTTGTAAACTGTCCTCGTTTTTCAGCAAAAAGTAGAAACCATTTTTTCATTTGAAAATACCTTGTATGCAAGATATTTTTTTATATAGATATATATCTATCTCAGCAAATTAAAATGTTAGTGCATGTCAGCATTTCCATTATTAGTCTCTTGATTTAAATGTCTAATGATTTTTGCTCTGTGGAACAATCTAAGATTCTGTTTTTAGGAAGAAAATCAAATAAATAATAAAATGAATAGTGTCAGAGGTTTTATTTTAGCCATGCTAGATGCACCTTTTCCCTTCCAGTGCAGACTCCAGTACTTGTTTTCATACCTTAGGTTTAGCAATGCTGTACAGCACAGTAACTCCTTTGACGTACATTAACAGAGTATTTCTCCTGTTGCTTTCTGTTTTGGTAGACTGCAGTAACTAAGTAAGAGCCACTTTGGTCTCTTGGGAAGATGGGAATGAGATTTTTTAAAAGCTTTTGAATACAAGTGTATTTGGTAACATCTTGCATATAAATGATTCACATGCTTGTTTGAGTACTTTTTGGAGGAAAGCTTCGTTGTCTTTTAATGCTAGCTTAAATCCTGAAGGAGTGGAAGAGATGTGAGAGGAAACTAAAAAAGTGCATGACAGAGATGTAAATTTATTCTTAGTTACATCAGTGAGGTGCATTATTAGAGGAGGACATCTTTGGCTGATCTGTGTTCCAGTGCCGAAGTCATGCTTATTTTGTATCACAAAAATTATCATTACAATCCTGGGAAAGACCTTTTAATGTGTCCACAGCTTACATTTACAGAATTCTGCAGAACACAAAGAAGTATATTTGAAAACTGAGGTCAGTACTACGGTTTCATTTGTGATTGCTGTTTAAATGCAGGATCATGTTCCTCATGCTTCTTCAGACTACATATTTGCTGACAGAAGTCTCTACTACAGGTGTAGCTTTAAAACAGTTCATGCTCTTTTGAGACTTGGGTACCTCTTCATTTTCTCTTTCACTCTTTCTTATTTTTGTCTGTAGCTACCTAAGGAGATTACTTTAACAGAAGCAAAATGTATTAAAATGAGGAACCGGATTTAAAATAAATGCCTTCATCATGACGATTAAATCATTATTTTTCATTACTCACACCAAATTCTGTTTTCTCAGTCTGCTGTTTTACAAAGAGGAGTGGGGCTTGCAACTGTCTGAAAGAAGGCATTGTGTTAATTACTTTCATCAGCTTGTCAATGTTGCTGGTTGAAGCTGAAATCCCTTTTACGCCTTTAGTGCTAATTTATTAATTCCTTTTATTATTCCATGTTTCTCCATCAGTTTTCTCCAGCTACCTGTATTTATCTATAGGTCTGAGATGACCCTTTTCTCTAAAACATGTTTTGCAATTCTTTTTAAAAAAATATTTTTCAAAGTCTCCATGACGTCAGTTCAGCACTTCATAAGTCACCTTGACCTTCTACTTTTGCAGACCTATCAACAGGATTCCTTGAACATTTTTTCCTCTGGTATAAGACAAGAATTACAAGCATGTATCCTGACTTTTTGACAAAATGTAGTACCCATCCTTGATTTTGGAATTTTCAGTGTAGTAGGTACAGTAAACAAAAAATGCAAGATTATTGTTGCGTAGAACCTTTTTGCATGTTTGTATTTACCTTTGCATGTCTAGCAGCCAGTTTACACTAAACTTACGAAAGTTTGGCTTATCAACTCTGATTGTAAAACCTTACTGAAAGAGACTGAAATGGCTTATGGTAGAACTTATGCGTACTGGAACACCACACAATTGTTGCTGAAGTGTACAAACTGTTTCTGCAGTAGAAGGCTGTAAAGACAGCTTTCTAGTGAAAGTCATGGGTCACCCTTTTCTTTTTTTTTTCTGTAAATATTAATAAGATACTCCAGTAATTACAGCTATAATTAATACTGAGGAAAATAAATTTTTCATGTGTAAAGAGACAACAAAATTATGTGCTTTATATGATCAATCTTCATGTGGAAATCTGAATGACTAGGGACCTCTATTGACTTGTAAACAAAGTTAGCATAGTAAAGTATTTTGCAGAATTCGATGAAAGCTAATTTTTATCTTTTTATTTTTTAAAGGAACTTCATGTTGGCGTTGTTTATGCCAGAACATAGTAAGCAAGGCATAGCTCCAGACTTGTGTAAACTTTTATCTAGCCAACACGATGCAATTGAGTATGAATTCCAGGTTGCTCTGGAAATGAAAGAGAAGTTCTGAGCTCTCTGGCTGGAAGCTGAACGTGATGACGGCCTGGTCCATGGTAGGGAAGCTGAAAATGGAGAAGAGGCACTCCAGAGAAGACAGAAACGTGGAACAAGATGCTGGGGAATGCAGTGCTGAATCCGAGGAATGGACGAGTTCAGAAAGTGAACCTGAGCAACCATACTTCAGAAGCAGCTGTAGCAATATTCAGTGGAGAGAAAAGGAGGTTTCCACTAAACCACATCGGCCACTCTGTCGCTCCCCTTGTTTGGATCGCCCAAGTTTTTCACAGAGCAGTATCACACAAGACCTGAAGCTAGACGAATGCAAAACGAGTTTGGACAAGGAATACCAAGCTAAAATGGATTTTGCTTTAAAACTTGGGTATGCAGGAGATCAGATCCAGGCTGTACTGAATAAACTGGGAGCAGATGCGCTCATCAATGATGTTCTGGCTGAACTTGTGAGACTTGGCAACAAAAGTGAATCAGAAGGACAGAACAGTGCCAGCAGTACCACTAGTACTCTGGTGCCAAGAGGCCCTTGTCCAAAGGAAATAGCAAGCCCTGAATTGTCACTTGAAGATGAAGTTGTGGATAACAGTGATAACTTGAGGCCAATCGTCATTGATGGAAGCAATGTGGCTATGAGGTGGGTCTCCCTGTCACAACATTTGAAAAGAATAAATCACAAAAATATTTTTGAGCAGAATTGATATTGACTGTAAAGTCATTTTAAGTTGTATAGTATATTTACACTGAGAGCGAATCTTCCTTATGGAGTCTTTACTCCAGGCTTTTAAATATGATGTCACTCCTTTATATGCAATCCCTGTTCCCCCTACCCCCTCTTTAAACAAACTTCTCCCCTCAAATCTGTTGTTCCAGCAATTTAACTATGCTGTGCTTTTGAGTGGATGGGTTTAATTCCTTTTTAAGTCCTTGAACGATGTTGCAAATTATTCCTCTTTATTACCCAGAGGTAACCGAATAGGAGAGGAAAACCTTGTTCTTTCAAAAATGACATGTAGTATATGCTGATGATGTGCAGTGGACTTCAGGGAAGTTGAACTATTGCTGATCAAGCTTGCTTGGAATTCAGGGCAATTTAGCAGTGTCAGTACAGGGCTGTGCATGAGCTGAACATGCTGACTCACATTGCTATGGTGCTTGTAAATTCAGACACGTGTGGACACATGCACATGGCTGTTTGGGTAAACAATAGCTCAGGAGAGTTCTGTCCCATGGCACTTCGGAGCATGTCTGTAGAACGTACAGTTAGCTAGACAATGCTTTTGCTTTTCATTGAGGAAAGTATATTTTTCTATAAGGGAGTTGTTTAAACTGTCTGGTGATCAGTGGTATTAAGATTTTTGAGGTTCTTTTTTTATGAAGATGTCCTTTAGTATCAGCTTTTTGCTCTAAAAGAATTTGTGGTAAGATTCTTTTTCTATGTATTAAGAAAATTCAAATTTGTATAGGTGTATTGAGTTTTAATGGTGTAGTAGTTTTAAACTGAAAGAGTGTAGATGAAATACAAGGAAGAAATTCTTTACTTGGAGGGTGTTGAAGGCACAGGCACAGGCACTGGCACAGGCTGCCCAGAGAAGGTGTGGATGCCCCACCCCTGAAAGTGCTCAAGGCCAGGCTGGATGGGGCTTTAGGAAACCTAGTGTGATGGGAGGTGTCCCTGCCTGTGATAGGGGGGTGGTACTGGATGATCTTGAAGGTCCCTTCCAGCCCAAGCTGTTCTGTGATTCTGTGTCTCTCATTATGTACGCATTTGTCTTCCTGAGCAACTGTGGCATGTATTGAGGCCCTGCTCCCTTAGAAGTGGCTGAACATCACTTGCTGATGCAAATTTTTTTTTTTCCTTCTTTTGCTTCTGTGCTTCCTCTGCTTTTCTTTCATTAAACTTCTCCTGTCTCAAACCTGCATGGTTTTTATTCCTCCATCTCATTTTCTCTGTCCTGCTAAGGAGGGGGAGTGAGAGAGCAGCTATGTGGTACTTAGCTGCCTATCAGTATTAAACTACAACACCATCCAAAAGATGTCACTGTAAAGCAACATCACCAATATTGGTTTTCTTAACTTTTTTTTTTCTTTTTCTGTTTGTTTTATTTTCAGCCTCTGTACTGCTTGAATTACTCCTGACAGCAGCTAAAGAAAAGTGTGTGCATGTACTCTGATTGCATAGCTTAGCACTGGTACTCTGTTTCTGAAACAAAAGGCGTATGAAAATTTACAAGAATATTAAATTCTGTAAAATCTGAAATGTACAACATCTAAAGAAAATTGTTTTAGTAACATTGTTGCTTTTGTACAAATTATTAATTTAAGTTGCAAGGATTTGGAAAATGCTGGTGAACCATAGGCCTTAGTTATACCATTGATATTAGATACCTGTCTGCCTTTAGTCTATTTCAGTGTTACTTTGTATGACATTTTGAGCCCAAGAAGAGCACATACCCTGCTACACTGGTAATCCGTGATTTTTTTCCAATAATAATAATGAGATTATTAAAGTAAAATTTGAGTGATTATCTAAAGATTAATACTAAAGAGAATTTCAATAACATGCAAATCTCTTAATTATGCAGCATTGCTCTGCAGGCTGAGAATACCTGAAAAAGGTAATATACTTCTTATGTTTATAAATAGTGCAGTCGTTGGTGATGTAAATGGCAACCTTGCCGTGAAGGTAAATTATATATATTGTATCTGAAAGGTGTCTAGAAAGAACCATTTCCAGTATAGGAATTTTCTTGCCCAGTTTTGGGGGCAGCTTAGAACAGGATGGTACAGCAACTGGATGCCACTTTGTGTACAGCCAGTGCCAACTGCTTTAAGTAGTGGGAGGCATTCATGGCATTGTATAGAGCCACAGAGCCTCCTTAATTACAGCCAACTGCTTGGACTACCCACATGCTGTGGGGCTGCTATAGAGGAGTCATCGCCTGTATTTCGCACTGCTAGCTAGGCCTCTGGTTATTTCTGGTGAGGGGTGTCATCACTGCACATGGCCCTTCCAGTGTTCTGGGAGCCTCCTGGGCCAGGCCATACAGCCTACTCTACTTTTACACTCTATTTTTTGGGCAAAGAAAACAGGCTTGATTCTAAATATGAAATCCAGACATAAGGCAATCTGTATGTCTTTCTTACCTGTGTAGAATAAGTAGAATCATAAAATATCCTGAGTTGGAAGGAGCCCACAAGGACCATCGAGTCCAAACTCTGGGTTCCCAAAAGGACCACCCAAAAATGAGACCATGTGTCTTGAGAGTGTTGTCCAAGTACTTCTTGAACTATGTCAGGCTTGGTGCAGTGACCACTGCCCTGGGGAGCCCGTTCCAGTGCCCAACCACCCTTGGTGCAGAACCCGCTCGAACACCCAGCCTGACCCTCCCCTATTCCACTGTCCCAGCCCCATGCTGGTCCCTTGGGTCCTGTTGCTAGCCCCAGAGAGCACAGCTCAGTGCCTGCCCCTGCGCTCCCCTCGTGAGGCAGCTGAAGGTCACCATGAGGCCTACCCTCGGCCTGCTCTGCTCTGGGCTGAACAAACCAAAGGACCTCCTCAACTGCTCCTCATGCGTCTTGCTCTCTAGAGCCTTCACTACTTTTGTTGCACTCCTTTGAACAATCTTTTAGTTTTGTGTCCTTTATATTGTGGTGCCCAAATCTGGACACGGTACTTGAGGTGACACTGCACCAGCACAGAGTAGGGTGGGACAATCGCTTCCTTCGACGGGCTAGCAGTGCTCTGCTTGATGCACCCTAGGATGTGGTTGGCCCTCCTCGGAGGCCAAATACTAAGGATGTAATGCTTAATATATGTACTCATGTACATGTATTATTCAGGTATTCCTGAACTATTTCCCGAGAGGATTTACAATGAACTGAAGAATCAGGTTTTATGTTTAGCAAATCAAGACAGGTACACCTGTGAGGTAGACTGAATGAGATTCATAAATAAAATTTTAACTAGATTCCACCAAGCCTGTAAATATACTTTGTAAAATGAAGTGATGTAAAGCTACTTTAAACCCCCCTTTTCTCACTTAGTTGCAGTTTCAGAGACTCCAGTTTGTTTCAGAAAACAAATTATTGATTTTGGTGGGAAGAAAGGAAGGAGCTCCAACAACTTAATTATTTCTGTCTAAGAGAGAGAAATAAATCAATATATAAAGTAATGAAAAAAGCAGAATGTTTATTAAACTTTTGTAAACTTTTTTCTTTTTCACAGAATCACAGAATTTCTAGGTTGGAAGAGACCTCAAGATCATCGAGTCCAACCTCTGACCTAACGCTAACAGTCCCCACTAAACCATATCCCTAAACTAGATTTTAAACATCTAGATTTTCTTTAATCTAGATGTTTAAAAGCAACTATATTACCCATGACAGCCAGCATGGTTAGTTTCTTTCTTTTCTATTATAACTATCTTTTTATGGTGCTACTTAAGGTAAGCTTAATTTGTTGGGGGAGGTAATAATTTTTCATTAGGTCACCTAATAGAATGAAAAAGCAGAAATTTCACCAGCAGAAAAAGCAGTCAAATGTCACCATTTCTAATGCCTGAGTATCAGCATTGTAATCTGATGATTAAATAGCTCTGGACAACTGTCATTTTCCAGCTGTATAAGCTGGTTTAATAAAAAGATTTACTTGTCTTTACAAACTCTGTTTCCTTTATATCCGTAGACCACAGCAGCTTTGAAAGGAGAAGAACAACAAAACCCAAAGTCAAATGTAACTTTTGTCTTTGCTGTTTCTAAGACTTCTGCATTTTTTTCAGCCATGGAAATAAAGAAGGATTTTCCTGTCGAGGAATTCAACTAGCTGTTGATTGGTTTCTGGAAAAAGGACATAAAGATATCACTGTGTTTGTACCTGCATGGAGAAAAGAACAGTCTCGACCTGATGCACCAATTACAGGTAATGGATCAAGATTCTCTTTGACCCCTTGGTTTAAATAAATAAATGTGGTGTAGTAAAACAGAACTGCGTCATCCTTCTAACGGGTACTACATACTGGGTTGTGGACAATACTCAACTGGGTTGAGCCCCAACAACTCAATTGTTTGTTTGAAAATAAGACAATTTCACTGGTGAAGAACACATTTGGTATTTGCATCTGCAAAAAATGGTAGGTTTTGTAGTATTTATGGATCATGTCAATGCTGTTGAGTGAGGTATTCCTAATTTTTCCACTAGCAAACATTGTTTAGTATACAGAAACTGATTCTTAGTTGCTGGGCTAGTATAAAAATAAGCTGTATAAGGCCAGGGACTAATTTAATAGTGTTATCTTGAACACTGAAGAAGCAGAATGTGCTTTGACCTATAGACAGTACTTATATTTTATTCTAGGCTAACAAGAAAGATACTTTAAGACAGTAACAACTGAATTCTTGACATGTATGTTTTCTCACTCTTTCTGAACATAGTTGTTTACAGAGGAGCAGAGCAGTTATGAAGGTTAAATGTTGAATATTTATCTATTGCTTTGAAAGCTCAGAAATAAATTGGCATTCTCTTTTTTTTTTAAATGATAATGAGGACCATATATGCACATAGTTACAAAATACCACTTCAGAAAAGAGGAAGAGAAATAAAAGCTGCATTAAAAAAAAAAAAAGACTTTAAAGAAGCTTCTTGACTAAACTTATTTTACAGATCAAGAAATCTTACGTAAATTGGAGAAAGAAAAAATTCTTGTTTTCACCCCATCTCGAAGAGTTCAAGGAAGAAGAGTAGTTTGCTATGATGACCGATTCATAGTAAAACTTGCTTTTGACTCAGATGGCATCATTGTATCAAATGACAACTATAGGGATCTTCAGAACGAAAAACCAGAATGGAAGAAGTTCATAGAGGAGCGACTGCTAATGTATTCTTTTGTGAATGACAAGTATGTTTTTTTTCTTCATAAGTTAGGCAAATTTGCCAATTCAGAATCCTTGTTAAAAGCTGAATTTCACATTTCATTTATTTTGCATCAGATTTATGCCTCCTGATGATCCTTTAGGACGTCATGGTCCAAGCCTTGAAAATTTCTTAAGGAAAAGGCCAGTTATTCCTGAACATAAAAAACAACCGTGTCCTTATGGTAAGTGCTTAAGTCAGATTGATTTGCTGTATTTGAAGGTAGGTGAAGCAAGCAATTAATTAACATAATCTCTTTACTTTAAAAAAAGAAACAACTTATTTTTCTTGTTGTCATCCAAGCACTGTATTTATTTTTTATACCTGTCATGCCAATATTAATAAAAACAATATAGCAGAAAATTAAGGCCAACCAGATACAGCTTGTGTATATCACAGCTTTTTGCTATTTTTTTTTCCTGTTTTTTATTCAATGAAGGAGATTCATAACCATACAGACCATGTTAGAGTGCTGTTTGTTTTGTATAGCATTGATTATGGTGTCAGTATTGAAATCATGAGCAGTAGAAAGAAAAGTTATGTGTCTTGCCCTTGACACAGTGATATACCTGGCTATAGGTAATAACAGAGTTTGATTACTTGTTTATATAATTATTCCTTACAGTTATAGTAAAGAAACATTACAAGTAAGAAACAGTTAAAGAGAAAGATAGTAGTATCAATTAACCTTTGGTTTATTTATCTTGCGAATACTTTTCTTACAGGTAAAAAGTGCACCTATGGGCACAAATGTAAATATTACCACCCAGAACGGGCAAACCAACCTCAAAGGTCAGTAGCGGATGAGCTTCGGATAAGTGCCAAATTATCTGCTGTGAAAACTATGAGTGAGGGAGCCTTGGCCAAATGTGGCACAGGGCCATCCAGCTCCAAAGGAGAGATCAGTTCTGAAGTGAAACGCATTGCCCCCAAACGCCAGTCAGATCCAAGCATTAGATCAGTAGCTGTGGAGCCTGAGGAAAAGTTAACAGTAGCCCGCAAGTCTGAGGCCAGCTCTGTCCCGTCTCTGGTTTCTGCATTAAGTGTACCAACGCTCCCTCCACCAAAAAGCCATGCAGCTGGTGCATTAAATACTCGTTCTGCAAGCAGTCCGGTGCCAGGTTCCTCACAGTTCACGCATCAGAAATCCTCACTGGAACACATGTCCAGTGTGCAATATCCTCCTATACTAGTCACCAATAGCCATGGCACCTCAGTTAGTTACACTGACCAGTATCCCAAATACGAATCGTTAGGGGACCATGGCTATTATTCCTTACTCAGTGATTTCTCCAACTTGAGCGTAAGTAGTATGCATAACACAGATTATTACGGGGCTGATACGGACCAGGGGATGTATTCTAGAAACTCAAGCCCCTGTCCTGACAATTGCTTAAGCCATACAAGTAATGATTCTTATTCCTCTTACAATGACTTGTATCTGGGTGTAGCAGATGCCAGTCCAGAAGACAATGTGAAGATCCATAGACTGCCATCGCAAAATCGTCTTCAGCCTTTTTCCCATGGTTACCATGAAGCCTTAAATAGAGTTCAGAGTTACGGAACTGAAGAGCCTAAGCAATCCCTTCGCAAACAGTCAGTTTCCCACTTAGGCCTGCATGCCCAGCATCCAGTTGTTGGAGCACGGTCCAGTTGTCCAGGAGAATACCCTGTGCCTCAAAATATTCATCCATCAACTGCACAACCAAGCCGTGCCTTGGTCATGACAAGAATGGACAGTATTTCTGACTCACGGCTTTATGAAAGTAATCCTGCACGGCAGAGAAGACCACCTCTCTGTCGAGAACAGCATGCTAGCTGGGATCCGTTACCATGTGCATCAGACTCTTACACTTACCACTCGTATCCATTGAGTAACAACCTCATGCAGCCGTGTTATGAACCTGTAATGGTAAGAAGCATGCCTGAGAAGATGGAGCAACTCTGGAGGAATCCATGGATTGGGATATGTGGTGAGCCACGGGAACCACATATCATTCCAGAACATCAGTATCAAACATACAAGAACCTCTGCAATATATTTCCACCAAGCATTGTCCTTTCTGTGATGGAAAAGAATCCCCACATGACAGATGCACAACAGCTGGCAGCTATGATTGTTGCCAAATTAAGAACAGGGCGTTAAATTACTTTAGCCTCTTTTGGATAAATGAAACTATACAGTGCATAGGAACTGGAATTAAAATGAAGACGGGAGTGGGCCAGTCTACTGTAAATATTTTCTAATAAGTTTAGTATATAGTCCTGTACACAGTAGCAATCATATATATAGATAGAGGCACTATATAAGAGTTGATTATATTGTAAATTTTAAGATTTTAAATATAGGGATTTTTAATAGTGTTTTACAGGAAATGCATACCTTGCTGCATGGATAGCTCATTAAGAACTACAATGTCACGTTCAGTGTCTCAAAGCTTTTAATACAAAATTATTGTTAGAAATTATATTGCATGTATTAGTGTACACTTTCAATTTGATTCTCAATACCTAATTGGCCTTTCAAAGCATGCTCTATACAGTCCCAGATGACTTTTAGGGTTTCAGCTTTGCCGTTTGACACTGCCTATTGGTACATCAAATAGCGGAAAAATAAACTTGAAAAAAATTACTCAATTTGTAGAAGGATAAACTGGTTGAATCTCTTTCAGCTTTTGAATGTCAGTATTGTTGGTACTTCTTAAATTTCAAAACTGTTCCCCAAGAGTTTATTGTCCAGTATGTTAGTTCAATCCAACAGAAGCCAAATACTTTATTAAATTAGGACCAAAAGATTAAGGAGTATGAAGGTGTGAGCACCATTCAGTAAACAAAAAGATGTTTAACTGTAGCTTCCCTCTTCAGAATTGCCTGTCAACTGTGCAGTGAACAGCTGCTGTTCTAGATGATTAGAGAAGACAAAAGAAAATTGTCAGTTTTATGTAAATTGGATTACTCAGACTCAAGCAACAGGAACTGAATGTTAACGTGGAAGCTCATCAGTAACTAAGCCCTTCTGGAGGCAAGGATGGTATTTGGATGAAACTAACATGCAAGATCTTGAGAAGGGAGTGTGAGAGGCTGTTTCCTGAAAAGAGATGCTACAGTTTGGGCTTGTAGCAAGGTTGGCCTCGTTTTGCTCTTCAGCTCCACGCAAAGGTGTGCATTTGCCTCATGATGGTTTCTAGAGTCCTGTTTCAACAGGTGAGATAATTTTGTGTGGCATTGCTTGCGCAACTGGTATTTTGCTCAGGGTGGGAACCTTTGTAGCTAAATGTCTCCAAAAGAGGCGTTTATTGTTTTTTAAGCTGCACTGACTGAACGCCCTTTTTTGAATCCATTGTATATTGCAACATTTTGAACCATTACTAACTCGATATGTCTCGAGCTAGGACTTGTTGACTTCTACTGTAGTTTTTTTCATGAAAGTTGAGAAGGCCTGGTTTTATGGCCTTTTGTTTCTTCATGAGAAGGTGTGACACTGCCTAAATGTTTCTTACTGTGAAACACACGGAACGTGAGGCTGCAGTCAGGGTTGTTTCTGGTGTTTTGATAATGGCTTGCATGCTGCTTTCTAGTTCTCTGTTTGTCTGAGGAACAAAACATTATTTCCTCCATTTGTGTTACTGTAATAATGGTTGGTTTGATTCACAGTATCTTGCAGGCTATTTATCATGTGTTCCTGTCAGGTCAAAAAAAACAACCAAACCAACAGCAAAGAAAACAATTAACATGTGCAATGACAATTAACATACGGATAATTGATAACTGTACCGTTTCACACATGATAAATATTCTTCCATTGGAACAGGTAACATATATAATGACTATGTCATTATGTATTTCAATTTAATTAACTTGCAGATGATTTTTGTATTTACACTTGATGTTTGAAAACAAGTAAGTTTTAATTAGTTGGTTAATGGGAAAAATAAGACTTTGGACACTTATAATAGTTGGAGAAGACAGAAAATTCTTGACCAATATTCAAATATGTTTCTTAGGAACCAGCATTTTCTGTTTTTAATTTGCAATTAATTCTTATTCTCTTCTCTTGCATGGTATAAGCAGCTGAGAGCAGTGCCTCAAATAACCAGAAATGACCTTTTGTTTGTTGATACAAATTGTATCTCTTTTTCTTGATTGTATAAAAACTGTTTTAAAAAAAAAAAAAAAAAACACACCAAAAAAAACCCACAACCCATAAACCTCTAGATAAACTTCAGTATTACATATTCACCACAATGTTTGTGACACTGTGTGTCACAGGGAAGTAGCCCATGAGTAATTATGAATCTTTTTTTATTTAAAATGGGCACTTGTAGTTTATAGACAAACAAGGACAACTTTTCAGAACCAGTTTAATATGTGCACAGAAACTGTGTGTACACCTCAAAGCATTACATGATTATCTTTAGTCTATTAAGCAGATACATTCTTGCACTAAACTTTATGTAATAATCTTGCTGTTAGCTCATCTGCATGTGTTTAAAATGTAACAATATAATTGCTGTAGACACTGCTTTATTCTTAACAGATTCATTTATAAATTATTTAGGTTTAAAATGAAGTTTATTGTGCACTCACGTTTTCCATCTTGCATGGAATTAAATACTTGTATGTAGAAAAATGTTTGTTCCCTTTTTCTCCAATTATAAAGATAAGCTATCTTAAGAGGGTTTGGTAGGTGTTTTTGATGCTTTCAGATGTGGAAGCTTAAGCAGAAGTTACTGTATGAAGTTGTGGGTGGTTTCTGGAGAAACTCGTTTTTGTAGGACTTGTCTAGTTATTTTAATTTTCACTAACTTTGGTCTTACTGGTAAAAAGGAATTATTCTGAACAACGGGAATGCTATGCTACTGCAAACCCAGCATACCATTTCCCAAAGGCACTTCGAAGGCAAAATTGTCTTTTTCTAAGAAGCTATTTGCATCCATCCTGCGTAGAGTTATAGACTGGGCAGTGTAGCCTTGTGGAAATAATTTGCAAATCTTGTGCTTGTTTAGTCCTCCTTAGAGGTAATGAAACTTTTATATGTGACGTAGTCTTTCCTAATCAACTAGTTTAAGTGATAATTTTGCCATCCACATCTGTTCTGAGATATGTTTACAAGCCAATTCATAACACTGACACATTAATTAACCTTCAGTGCGTAAGCTTAGATTTCTTCTTACATGGAAGAGTTGATCTTATTAATACATGACCATAACTGTCTATATTGTAAATATAAGACTTTGTATAAATGCTCTTTTTGAGAGCATGGTATTTAAATGTTTTTAAAACTGTAAGAGAACAGTTCCAGAAACTATGTTTTAATAAAATCCATAGAATTAACAAAATTCTAGATGAGAAACTGGGAAAAAAAGAAAGTGGAAAGGTGAAATCCTGGCCTGTTTCAATCAGCAAGAGTTAAGCAGTAGACTTTAGCAGGGCCAGGGCAGCACTTCGGGAGTTCTGAATTACTGATCTTTAATCTTTAGCTATATCACTTTCACATAATTTATCACTTAAGTTCACAATGTTAAATTCATGATTCAAAAATCAAATGCTTTATGAGATGTCAGCCTAAGTTATTTTATGTGTTTTTGTAAGAATTACATGTTAGTGATATATTCAGTTGTACATACAGTATATTTGACTAACGTTAGTCCTGTTGTTGTCTTATTGAGCTACAGTAGTGGGCTTTATTCATCTGTAGAATTAAACGTTATGGTTTAATTGTTGTAAAATTTTATAAATCTCTTTGGGTTGCTTTGGTTGACCCAAATATAATGTAAGTCTCAATGACAAAATGAGTGAAAAATGGGTGTTAAACCAGTTATGTGGTATTTCTAAAACACTGTAGTAAGTGTGCAATGCTCTAGCTGCAGCTGCATGTATTTCATTCACTAGCATGAGTCTGTTTATGTTCAGCTTTTTGTAAAAATGTTTTAAATTTTAAACACTTGAAAATAGTGGGCATATGGTTGCTTAGAACAAGCAGAAAAATTCTCCATCAAAAAGTAACAAAACACAAAAGCATCTATTTAGACAAGTCCTCCATACATACTTTTAAAGCCAATTTGCCTCAAACTCTGAATTATGGCATTTTGGAATTCTTAATGATAAAGCCAGAAAATGCAAACAATAAATCCATTCAAGTAAGTCTGTTTAAGAAAATACTTGGTGGCATACATGTATACATGTGACTTATACCAAACTAGAATCAGGAACATTTCAGAGGATATATTTTGACTACAGTAATTAAAAAAAAAATCCATTCTAAAAAAAAGAAGGGACAGACATAATTTCTGTGACACTTTGCTCCACAGAAATACTACTTTTTCTTGACTTGCCAAAGGTTTACCTGAAACACTACTAATACCGGACTCATATTAGTCAGATCATGAGACTTGAATAGTCAAATCTCATTATTATTACTATGGTAAGTGTTCAGCTTTAATACCCTTCTTATGTACCCCATAGCAGTCTGTGTGACAGAGCGCTATTAACTGTATTTCTTGCAATATTTCAACTAGAAAAATACAAGTGCACTGTTACTTAAATTACTCTCATGCCAGTGTTTGCTTAGCCTTTGAAGAGCCCTTATACAATATCTATGATTTTGGTCTTTGATATTTATGTAAACATATTGAAATTATTGAGAGGAATCCAAAAGAAATATAGGCTGTAACCTGTACCTCCCTGCTCTGTGTAAAAGGTTTGCACAACTATTGAATATATATGAAATACGTTATACTTTATATATATATATACATATAAACCTGCTTATTTAATAAAACTGAGAGCCACTGGTTTATTTGTTTCTAGCTTTTTATTTTTCAACCCTTTTTAGGAGAGAGCCCTGAAGAACTGTTTTGCCCAAAACAATTGTCACAGTCCGTCCAAATTATTTCTCTTTTTTTGTAGATGATTTACAGGAAAAATACCCAGATTCTGAAATCATACATAATGCTTAGATTTTCTGTCTGCATTTGAATCTGTGTAGGAAAAGGACAAGAATAAAGGTATCCGCTTTACAGCGGAGGAGAGCCCTCTCCATACTATTTAGATCCCATTCTCTTGTCAATTTCTGTATTAAACAAATTTTCTTTGGCCATTTAAACACCTAATAATTTCCCTTACTGGGTGGCAGATGATACAATGTACAACTGCTTTCACTCAAAATTGCTTTAAATTGTTTGGTGAAAAAATTAAAGGAAGTGGATGGAAAATGATGTAAAATGATCTTTATCTGTATCTGAGTTTGCTTGAACATCTCACCATGTTTGTTCCCACAATGGCCAGCTAGCTGTAACCCTTTGTACTAGCAAAGTCAATTGGAGAGTGGCTGCCTTTAGGATTCACAAAACAAAATATTAAAGAATTGAAGAGCCAGGAATAAATTATCCTGTTTCCACTATTCCATCCAGTTACTTACACTGAAAACAAATTCAAAAGATGGCAAGGGACAAGAGGGGTCAGAGGTTGTGAATGTGGCAGTCCCAAGGCCCTAACTTCGTCCTTCAGCAATTCCTATTTTCTTGGTTTATCCTAGCAGTCTTCCATAGGAGATGGAACTTCACTTCCAATCCCTTCTGTAGCTTCCCTTTGGAGGTTTTTCATTTGTTTGGTGGTTTGTTTGTTTTTCACCAGACAATAAAAACCTGTCTGGAAAGGTTAATTTACAGGGAGAAGGCAGTCTCAAGCGATCCTGCCCAATGCAAAGGAAAACAAAGTACTTCAGAAATACATAAACACCGCCTTTCTTGTCCCCATTCAGAACATGTTTCTAGTAATGAAAATAAACAGCAGGCTGAAAAAGAAATTTTACTTAGAGCCTTTATCAAAGGAGGGAAAAAGTGACATATGGCACAGTATTTGCCAGCATCATACTTCGCTTTTCATACTGTTGTTTGCATTGACTTCTGAGTACCAAATACACTAACTGTTAAATTACTTGCTTTTTATGTCATTTGAACCGGTCAGCTTTAAATGTTAAGATTATCTATGCATTTTATTATGTGCTATTAATACTAATTTTGTCATTTAATTATTTAGGTTTTACACTATTGTTTCTTTATAGAAGTTGAAACATGTTTCTTTTCTCCAGCCATTCACGACTTCATTTTTTTTTCCATTGTTCTATGCCTGCTCCCCCACCTTTCCCATCAGTAACGCTGTTTAAAATTCATGCCATTACTACAGCTTCTCCTTAAGTCTTTATATATATATATATAGATATATATGTATATATATACACATATATATACGTGTGTGTGTGTGTGTGTATATATATATACATATATATATATAATCAGCTAGCAGTTTTGTTCTTTTCTACAATTATTCACAGCGCTGGATTTAGCTATTTTGTTTGACTCTGCAATTAGATGAAACCCAGGACCTTTATTCTGTAATTCATTATGTGGGGGTGATGGCAGATAGAAAAGGCAGTAACTACAGCTGACAAAGGAACTATAATAGGACGTGACTTTACTGAGTAAACCTTTACCAAAGGGAAAAAAAGGTCATGTACAGCACAGTATTTGCCAGCACTGCACCTTCCTTTTTGAACTGTTATGATTGCACTGACACGTCTCAGAAGTACCAAACACAGTACTTTAAGAAATTTAATACTCCACTTTGTACAGTAATAAAAGCACAAATCCTTTTCACTGAATATTTCCTAAATAAGCTTGAGGAACTACTGAGTAAAAGAAGTAACTTAAAATACTAAAAAGAGGAAGGGCTTACAGGAGAAATCCTCCATAACAGAAAAAGAAGTTTGCTTTCTTTTGCTTTTTGTGAAACCAGTACTGCTTGTTTTTAAAGAAAGAAATGTACGACATATCTTCCATTCTAAATAATTGTTGGCTGTCTGATGGAAGACTAACTGGAGTAGGACAGGATGACAAAAAAAAATAGAAAAGAAAAAATACATTATGGACACTTAGGAAAGCCTTTACTTGATAGCCAGCCCAAGGCATCCACGTATTTGCTGTTCTAAACTTGTAGTTCTATCTTGTCCAATATACTGCTAAAGTTGTATGTCCCTTTTTGTGTCTCTTTAAATGGATTATTAGGATATAATGAGAACAGTAATGCCAAGAAACTAAAATGATGCCATTTCACGACATTGCACTGACATTTTCCTACTTCTGTGTATTTTTTAAATACTGCCAATTACTAGACTGACTCAGAGAAAGGCTCTTTTTATCCTTTAGCAGATATAATCCAACAGATTATTACTGAGAAGTCTTGAAATAAAAATGCTTAAACTCTTAACATGTCGACAGGTTATTGTAGAAGCTTCTAAGTTCCAAGAACCTTTAATACAAGTAAAGAAAGCTGAATTTAGACAAATAGCTGTCCTTGCTCTCACCAACTTTCTAGCATGACAATCAAATCCATTTCTACAGTAATCATGATAGCTTCCAGCAAGGGACAAAGTATTATTTATCAACCTCAGCAAAATCATGACCTCAAGAGCACCACTTGAAAAAACTTATGAGAAGAAAAAAGCTGAAGATGTTTATGCACTGAAGTGCATTCAGCCATGCTGTAATTCACTTGATTCCTGGAGTTTCATGTGAAATCCTTGCTAGATTAAAATTGTAACACAGTCTTATCCTGGCAAAATAATTCCAACTCATACATGACAATATTAGTGTCACTGAAAATGAAAGGGTTTAATAGTCTGGCCAGTAAGGACAGATGAAAAGGAAGAAGGAAAAAAAAAAAAGACAAAAAGAAAGGTTTGCCTTCAGTTGGTGACATTTATTAACCACAAAAAAAAAAATTAAGGAATAGTGAGGGATTCTGAAGTATACTAACTATATTTCATAAACATCAGCTAGAGTTAGAAGCCCATGACAGTAATTAAGCAGACAATAGCTGCTATACACGGAACTTACTTTGATAAAACACTGATTTTACATGGTCAAAAGTAGTAAGTCCTCAAGAAAAAAAAAAATCCTGGAGTGGCTATTTCCATATCACCATTACTAGTTCCTCCGTGTCACTTATCTTGTGCAATGCTGAAAGCTGCAGAGCACTTTGCTGTCTTAGAAAAGCTGAAGGCCACTTTTTATTTTATGGAAGTCATTCTGGGTCCATAGCAATCCTCCTGTCACAGGAATATTCAATTCTGCAGAGCTGCAAGAGGATGAGAAATAAACCACATAAGCACTGAGCTAACTTAGAAGCTCACATCACCAAAGTAAATTTCTTAGCATGTTAAATTATTAAGAAGTTTTACTTCCAAACTAAAATGTTATTTCTCATTTTTAGCTCTGATCGTTTAACTGATGGAATGCCCTTAATTTTTAACCAGTTCATTCACGAGAGGGAACAGTCTGAGGACCAACGGTACCAAAACACAAACCAATGGAAAGATTACCATCTGCTAACAATTGCAAGGGAGACATGACTCCAGAAATAACCAACCACACAACAATTCTTGTCTCATCTGCCCTTTGCAGCTAACAATACAAGGTAATCATGTGAAACTTTAATGCAGCAAGAAGTCAACATAAAAACAATCTGTTATAAATGTTACAAAGCTTGTATGTCTGCACACAGAAACAAGCCCTTCCTATGGCTTGACACAGAAGTCACAGAATCTAGAGCATTTAAAAAAAGTTTAAAGGAAGTTATTGTTTGGTCTCACTGGCGGCATGCTAAGTCATTTCTAACTGCAGAAAGTGGCTTATTCTCAAACAGACGTAAAATCCGTTTTCCTTGCAGAAGTTACCCAGTTAGGGCTGAGTCCCCCATGACTCACTAACACAGCACACAAAGGAACAAATACTTTTTTTTTTTTTCTTTTTTCTCTGTTCTCAGACATAAGGCACCCTTAAGCTCAAGGTTCAAAGAGCAGTTGAAGAACACAGGTAAACCATTCCCTACCCAAAACTTTACTATGTGAAGAAACTTAAAAAACTACTGAGTTGTTAGGTAGGCCAGACTAGGGTTTAACACTTTAATTCATTTTTATGAGAATAGGAAGTTAAAAGCTATATTTTAAAAATAAGATGTTTATAAATGAGCCAGTTGAAACCTGCTATCTGACACTGTGAAGAAGAAAAAGGGAAAACCTGGTTGGCATCTGCGTGTTTTTCATGTACACTTAAGGAGAGTTCATGCAGTCCCAGCTACAACCTAGCATCCCCCAGGATATGAATATGTTACCTGTCTACTTTAAGGTCTTTACCCTTCAGCACATTATTTCCCTCTTTCACCCACCTGCTTATGCATCTCATTCTAAGGACAAAAAATCCAGCCGTTATCCACGACCATTGAACGATGAATGCCATTTCTGAAATGTCAGTGAAAATCTCGATACAATCCCTAAAGCAATTGCAGGTAGCAGCTCTACTCTCAGGAAACTCTCTGTCATGGCCAACTGCCACTTTGTCCCAGCTGTCACATAAAACTGACACTGGGAGTAAACAAAAGGCACATACGCTTACCACAAAAACAAAACGTCTGCCTGAGGATTACAGCAGCTATTCAAAGCTTCTGAGGTTGCTGCAGCAAACCCTAAGGACAAACTTTGATAACAGCAAAGCACACACCAGAAAACCCACAGAAGAATACTTTGGGGACCAGGGAGGAAGGATTCTACAAGATTTCTACAAGATATTCCAAAGCATCTAAGCATCATAGGAACTTGTGTCTCATGTTAAACCAGAACCATTTCTGTAAACAAGATGGAGATGTTTGGGAAATTTTATTTATACAGCAACTTAAAAGCTATACACTGAAAAACTCAATGCCTTTTCCAAATGATTGGTACTGGAATAACCGGAATATAGCAGAGGCTGCTGCTCAGAGCTCCTCAGGGACACACAATTTTTCCTTTAGTGTCAGAACACCTCCCTAGACACCCCCTCCACAGATGAAACACTGCCAGGGACCTTGTAAAAAAAAGTCAACACAGAAACATCACAGATACCGCACCCAGCAGTAATGATCTGATGTTCTTTCTCTGTCTGTTGGAAACTACCCAGAATTCAGCCTGCTAATGAGATAATTCTTCCTTCTTTGTGATGCTAACTGTTCATTACTCATGACTTCACTCATTCCCAGGACAGAGACTCTGGGGACAGACACTGACATAATTTGCTGCCTTAAATGTACTGCTCCATTCTCATCTGTTGACCTGGTGAATTAGGGCTGCAGCAAAAGGTCATGCTTCTACTACGTGACTTGTTCAGAGTCCTTTTTCCGTATTTTTCAGGAAACCCTTAATGCAGTTCATTACTTTGATTTGCCATAAGTCTGGGGAGCCAAAGAGAAAGTTAAAGATAGCCCTAGCTTTTACAAAGACTGTGTCCCATTGCCTATGTTGCAGATGCTTTATTCCAAGCATCTTATAGATATTTCCAAAGTACACCATCACATTTTTACAGTCTCTCATACCATACTGTGAGTATGATGACAACACTAAGCTTGTCAGAAAAGCTCTCTATAGACAGAGAAGTTGGAGACCACTACCAAGAATTAGCAAACAGCAAACACCCCTTCTGCAACATGCCATATATACCACTCATTTGAAGGGGAAGCTGAAAACTCATGTAGCTGCAAGGCAGTGAATGAAGTTTCCAAACAGAAGAAAACATGAGAAGTAACCAAGAAACTCTGCTCCCCCTCTGCCTCTGGGCAAGTCAAGAAAACCTTCCGGATGATTTTGGCAAAAGGAGAAGCTACAATGGAAGAGAAATAAGAGGAATGAGCAAGTTAATGTTATAGCACTCCTGATAAAACTAAAGATTAGTTCCAGGCCCAGCTACAGAAACAGATCAGTTTTTCCTCATCCTTCTGAGCTTCTTCCTTTCCTGCCAGGTTGTGATCTGAGTACCAGAAACTCTGCTCCTTTTCACCTACACAGATGAATGGAGAAATGCTTACTATTTTTAGTCTGATATGTGCATTTTCATTTTCTACATGGTTATTTTCTAATCATAGAAGCTGCGTGACACTATACACTCACCACTAGTTCAAAAAGCAGCCAAACAGAAGCTGCATACGAGGACAAAACAAAAACCACCTTCTTGGCTGAGTATAGAAAAAGCTTTTGCAATTGCTCCTCTCAGCATCTTAGGTGACAGGGAAAGCAATTATTAATGGCTCAGGGGAAAGCAATGCCTGCTTTGCTTATCTGAATCTGTATAATGTAGCACTGAGATGTACATACCTAACTTGTAACACTTTGGTTTGCAATTAATATACACTGGGTTCTCACCATGACTAAATCATACTTCAAAAGGCAGTCCAGGCATCATCCCCAAAAGAAATCTAGTGCAACTGATAAGGGAAGGAAATATTAATTGATCTACCTACAAAATAAACACCAAGAATAATAATTGATCTACCTACAAAATAAACACCAAGAAAATGAAAAAGAAAAAAAAAAAAAGGTCCTTCCAGCTGTCCATTTGCAGATCCCAAGAGGAATATTTTGGCATATGTGAGCAAGAGTTTATAATGCAAATCAGGTCTGTCTGTTCCAGGAACAGAACTGTGTGCCTGGGCATGCATTTCTGTTCTGGCTACAGGCAGAGCATTCTCCAAGTCAAGGAAGGGTCCAAAGTCAAGTTGAAATTTATATACTTCAGCTAAGCCTTGAGGTCAGGAACCTCTTTAGAAATTTTCAACTGCCTGACAGTTTTTTCTATCCTACTGCAACATAATTTGCTCCTCTGTGTACAGACAGGTAGACTGAGCATTTCCCTGTAACCATGGCTGTTCTGTGTGACTCGCCACTTCCTTTTATGACCCAGAAAGGAAGGAGTCCTTCTAATTTGTAGCAAGCAATGGAATCATAAGTCCTGGGAAGTAAAACCTAGAGAATATTACCTGAAATACGGATAAATGGCGTTTCACCTGCTGTGAAAAATCACTGAATAGTACAAAAGAAGCTGTTTCAAAGAACAGCTTATAAATTAACCATTTTCTTTATTTTTAAGTATGAGAATCCGTTTCAGCATCTAATTAGCAGTATGAGTCTTTTTCTCATCCTTAAAACTAGCGCAACTCTACAGCTATGCATTTTTTAAGCCTGCATGTTGCAGGCTATTTATAACCAAGTACAAATCTGATCTTCCAATGCTTTTTACACTATGGAGCCAAGAGAACACCCCAAGTTGATTATGAGGAAAAGGCCTTTTTAAATAACAGCCATGCATATTTCCCAGACTACTAACATTCACGAAGAAGGGAGATTGAATGCATCCCTATGAGATATTCCAGAGTGCCTCATGCTGTTAGGTTCACAGATTTAACTGCACTTCAGTTCTAGCACATACAAGTGTTTGGACTAGTTGAAATTAAAGGTCTGAATGGCCAGTCTCCAACTATGTTCAAAAGCTAATGCATAAGTGAGCATATGAGCACAGGAGAACAGTCTTCCCCCTATTACTCTCCTACCTGCCAGTAGTTTGTGAATCAGAAACTTGCTGAGGCGAAGTGTTGAGATATCTTTGTTGACATGTGGGTGTGTGTTTTTTTGTTTTGTTTTGTTTTTTTAAGATTCTTTAAATATGTATCTTTGCAGACGGCTCAGGCAAGGATCACAAAGCATCTTTACAAACATTTTAACCCCCAGCACTGCATTTCCACCTTCCATGTTAATGACTCTGCAATGCTTTGCTCTTCAAGCATATCAAGGAAAGCAAATTTTAGAAAATCAGTAACATCTTTCTAATTTTGCACATTTAATGGATTTGCAAAAATCCTAACAAGTTTTACCCTCAAACTTCTTTTTCCTACTTCCATTATATGTCCTCCAAATCCAAAGAATTAAATTACATTTATTCTAAAGTCATTTGTGATGTTTCATCAGCCTATGTGTCAAGGACAGACTGAAAACCTTACCAAGTCACCACTGAATCATAACACTGAAATACTGCTTGCCAGTACTGTAAAACTGCCAACACTTGAACTGCTTCATATGATTCCCTACAACAACTAGCATCACAAAAGTAGCTGCAAGCATCAAAGTCTAACTAGAAAGAGAAAGGAACCTAATACTGAAACTTCAGCATGACCAGGTGCACTTACGTTCATGGTTCTTGCTTTATCATTCTGCTTTCCAGTTATGAACTGACACTAGCAAGGATTTACTTCATGTCCATTGCAGGATGGAAAAAAAAAACAACATGTATTCGTAATTTTGGTGATTTTTTATTAACAAATGAACTGACTAATATGTGCTCTGGATTTTCAGACAGTAGCATGGCTAAGTTCTAGCATCTACATCTAAACCAGTGGTATGACAAAGATTACATCTGGAAGAATTCCTTTGCTTGTAGAGCAGCACCTGGAATCATTAGTGGGGTCCCTCAAGGCTCCATTTTAGGGCCGGTACTTTTCAATATTTTTATAAACGATCTGGATGTAGGAATAGAAGGTATTTTGAGCAAGTTTGCTGATGACACCAAACTTGGAGGAGTTGTGGACTCGAATGAGGGTGGAAAGGCCTTGCAGAGGGATCTGGATAGGTTGGAGAGCTGGGCGATCGCCAACCGCATGAAGTTCAATAAGAGCAAGTGCCGGGTCCTGCACCTGGGACGGGGAAACCCTGGCTGCACGTACAGACTGGGCGATGAGACGCTGGAGAGCAGCCTAGAAGAGAGGGATCTGGGGGTCGTGGTAGACAACAAGTTGAATATGAGCCAGCAGTGTGCCCTGGCAGCCAGGAGGGCCAACCGTGTCCTGGGGTGCATCAAGCACGGCATCGCTAGTAGGTCGAGGGAGGTGATTGTCCCGCTCTGCTCTGCGCTGGTGCGGCCTCACCTCGAGTACTGTGTGCAGTTCTGGGCACCACAGTATAAAAAGGACATGAAACTGTTGGAGAGTGTCCAGACGAGGGCTACGAAGATGGTGAAAGGCCTGGAGGGGAAGACGTACGAGGAACGGCTGAGGTCACTGGGCCTGTTCAGCCTGGAGAAGAGGAGGCTGAGGGGAGACCTCATCGCAGTCTACAACTTCCTCGTAAGGGGGTGTCGAGAGGCAGGAGACCTTTTCTCCATTAACACCAGCGACAGGACCCGCGGGAACGGGGTTAAGCTGAGGCAGGGGAAGTTTAGGCTTGACATCAGGAGGGGGTTCTTCACAGAGAGAGTGGTTGCACACTGGAACAGGCTCCCCAGGGAAGTGGTCACTGCACCGAGCCTGACTGAATTTAAGAAGAGATTGGACTGTGCACTTAGTCACATGGTCTGAACTTGGGTAGACCTGTGCGGTGTCAAGAGTTGGACTTGATGATCCTTAAGGGTCCCTTCCAACTCAGGATATTCTATGCTTCTATGATTCTATGATTAGGTGTTTTTTTTGTTTGTTTTTGTTTTTTTTTTAATTTCTATTACTCTAGGGACCACTCCAAGAAATATAATGGGATTACAAACACTTGACTCCTACAACACCCAAGTCAGAAAGGGAACATGCTACAGCTGCATTCAAGTAGCTGCTTACAAACAAGAATAGTGAATCATACTACTCCATATACACTTCATTACAGCCTCCGTCATGATGATTCCATCTATTGTGCATAGCAAAATCAACTGAGCCAACGAGGAACAAATACAGAAACCCCACCTCCTGTGAGAGCCTCCTGGCTGGATACCAAACAGCTTATGTTTAAAGTCTCTGAGATCAAGCACTCTGTCATTTCTGCCTACAGTGAAAGTGCCAGGGCTCTACAGACTAGAAGCAGATCTGCAAGTTCTAGGAATTTGTCGTATTCCCAATGTGGAACATGTTGCAAGCAACATGACTCATGGCTGACTGACATCAAAAGGTTCTGCTGAATCAATTTTTTTTTCCCAAGCAGAGCTACAGGCTGGGAGATGAGTGGTTGGAGAGCTGCCAGGCAGAGAAGGAACTGGGAGTGATAGTTGATAGCTGAATATGAGCCAGCAGTGTGCTCAGGTGACCAAGAAGGCCAACGGCATCCTGGCTTGCATAAGAAACAGTGTGACCAGCAGGGCTAGGGAGGTGATCGTCCCCCTGTACTCGGCTCTGGTGAGGCCGCACCTCGAGTACTGTGTTCAGTTTTGGGCCCCTCGCTACAAGAAGGACATCGAGGTGCTTGAGTGGGTCCAGAGAAGGGCGACGAAGCTGGTGAGGGGCCTGGAGAACAAGTCCTACGAGGAGCGGCTGAGGGAGCTGGGATTGTTCAGCCTGGAGAAGAGGAGGCTCAGGGGCGACCTTATCGCTCTCTACAGATACCTCAAAGGAGTCTGTAGTGAGGTGGGGGTTGGTCTGTTCTCCCACGTGCCTGGTGACAGGACGAGGGGGAACGGGCTAAAGTTGCGCCAGGGGAGTTTTAGGCTGGATCTTAGGAAGAACTTCTTTACCGAAAGGGTTGTTAGACATTGGAATGGGCTACCCAGGGAGGTGGTGGAGTCACCATCCCTGGAAGTCTTTAAAAGACGTTTAGATGTAGAGCTTAGGGATATGGTTTAGTGGGGACTGTTAGCGTTAGGTCAGAGGTTGGACTCGATGATCTTGAGGTCTCTTCCAACCTAGAAATTCTGTGATTCTGTGAGACTTTTCCTGTTTGTATCTACTATAGATTTACTCTTCTTTGGGGGATGATAAACTATCAGGAGATAAATGGTTACCTCCTCTCTTTAAAGCCTGACAGGAAATTCATGTAGTGCTCAAAGTATGGGTCAGTGATGAACACTGTTCAAAAGGACTCAAAAAGGATGACTCATTTAACCTCCTGATATGCAGAAAGACAGATTCGGTGCTGTCTCTTGTAGAGGTGTTAGAACCAAGTAGTTCACGAACTATTTGGACTGTCAGAAAGAGGAGCACCGGAAAAGGATTATATCTTCTTTTATTATGTAGCAATCTACAAGGTTTTAATTCTACATTTTGATTGGATCCATCAAATACAAACAATACTCTCTCAGCAGCCTACCCCTACACTTCAGGCCTGAGCTGACAAAAGAGTAGACTAGTTCTGGGGAAGATGATGAAGAGAATGGAGTCAGAATGGAAACCTTGCTCTTCAGAACTGGAAACTGATCTGAAGACAACTCAGAATATGTGAAAACATGAATACATGCAGTAGCTTTTCCCACTGCACAACCTTGCAGTGGGAAAACTGTGTAACTGTGATTATTATTCTCATTTGTTTTGGAAGCTAGTAGACTGGGCCCATCTACTACAGGGAAAGAATCACTGATTTAGAAGTTAAGCTATCAAATGTTTAAGAAAATAACTGCTATCCATTTATATTCTGAAGCATTCCTTGGTTTAAAATTAAACTACATGTACGGCCAATCCCACACAGGGTATGTGATTAAATTTATTTGAAAGCTAACAACGTTCAAGATCCTTTGACTTCTAAGAGTGAAATAATGACCCTGTGAAAACCTCTTCAATGGAACTGTTTAACTGGACATGTGTCACTTAGTAACAGAGATGATATAATGAAAGCCTTATAGAATGCTACCATTATTTCCATGGCAACCTGACTTTCCTCAGTGAGGTCAGATCTGCAACTTAAATTATTGGCTGGAGCTCTGAAAAGGTCACTGGGCAATGGCAACATACTGTGGTTGAGGACCTGAGTCCCCATTAAGAGAGTTTTGAAGCCTGCTGAGTCTGTGTTAATAACTTCCAAACTGCTAAGCAGCAGTATCTCATAATCCTACCAACAGTTTCCTGTAGAAAGAGCAGGAAAGAAGATAACATAAGCAGGCTTCCACAAAAGATAAGATGGAAATCACCTTTTGATTGCCACTGATGTCACTTGTATTTCACTTTCAGTTAGTGTAAAAGGCCCCAGGGAATGCAGAGGTCTGTACTGTGTATGTTCCCTCAGGTCAGAAGGATGACAGTTACACCTTCATAAAGTAACTTCCTACCACACTGGTGAGTTGTCACAGTAGCTACTTCAGTCTCACTGTGTCCATCAACGATACAAGTCCAGTGTCAGGCTAACAGGGCAAAGACAAGCAAAACAGTTTCTTACTTCAGTGGAGGAGGGTGAGGAGAAGAGAGTTTGTTTCATGTTGGGTTAATAAAGTGAATAATCGGGACTGCAGTGACATAAAATGTAGTCAGGACAGTGGACTACAGTATTCACTTCAAGCACACAGAAGACGGACAGGTTTGCATTCACTGATGACAAACTCTAAGCACATTCACTATCCAAATAATGTACAGCCAATTCTTTCCTCAGGGTGTTACCAAAGTAATCTGCTGTCAACCACTTCCTGTGGGTACTTTCACAGAATCATAGAATGGCTTGAGTTGAAAGCAACCATAAAGATCACGTAATTCCAACCCATCCATGCTATGGGCAGGGATGCCACCCACTAGATCAGGTTGTCCAAGGGATAAGGCATCCACAACCTCTCTGGGCAACCTGTTCCAGTGCCTTCACCACCCTCACTGTGAAGAATTTCCTCCGAACATCTAATCTAAATCTCCCCTCTTTTAGTTTAAAATCATCCCTCCTTGTCCTGTCATTATCTGATTGTGCAAAGAGTCACTCTCCATCTTTTTTTACAAGCCCCCTTTAAGTATTTAAAAGCTGCAGTGAGGTCACCCTGGAGCCTTCTCTTCTTCAGGCTGAACATCCCCAGCTCTCTCGGCTTTTCTTCGTAGGAGAGGTGCTCCAGCCCCTTGATCATCTTTGTAGTCCTCCTCTGGACCTGTTCTAACAGATCCACATCCTTCTAGTGCTGAGGGCCCCAGACCTGGATGCAGTATTCCAAGTGGGGCCTCACAGAGTGGAGGACAATCTCCTCCCTTGACCTGCTGGTCACACCTCTCTTGATGCAGCTCAGGATGCAGTTGGCCTTCTGGGCTGCAAGCGCGCTCTGCTGGCTCACGTCAAGCTGTTTGTCCACCAGAACCCCCAAGTCCTTCTCTGCAGGGCTGCTCTCCATGAGTTCTTCTCCGAGTCTGTACTCCTGTCTGGGATTGCCCCGGCTCAGGTGCAGCAGCTTGCACTTAAGACTTATTGAACCTTCTCTCCTCGCTGTCAAGCTTTCCCACTACTGCACCTCAAAGTGCTTCATCAGACCACTGTACATTTTAAAATGACTCTCCCTTCCTGTACAAGATTAGCTAGTCTGTGAAGACTGACACTGGGGAGGCTACATGACTTCTCCAAGGTCAGCCTGTAAGAATGCTGGGGAGCTAACATTCTTAGCTGCATCTCCTGGCTTCCAGTCCTGAATGCTTTAATTGCAAGGCTACGGTTCTTCCTATTAAACTTACTTATCCCAGTGTATCACTAGGCAGACTCTGCACCAGCTCTTAGTAGCTTGTTTTAAAAACTCTGTACTTGCGTGTTAGTAACTCGTGAGGATCAGCATACTGTATCTTACTAACAGTATCAGACAACAGTGAAAGTTGAAACAGTTTGAAGAGTAGACTATTATGTTATTACATCAACACTACAAAGGTTCTTCCAAACACACACATTACTTTAAAAATGCATGAGAGAAGCACAGTTAGTAGATATAACAAATATTGGTAGATATTTTGGTCAAGCTATCACACACATAACAGGTTGAAAACTAGTCCTGAATTTTTCACATCATAGCACAAGGCACAGAGAAATAAATAAATTTCATAGTTCAGGGACAAAGTCTTGCCCATAACATTACTCACTTTGTATTGGGAGACTTCCACTCATCTCTCACTGGCTGATCAAGCAGAGACATCATGGAATAATTATCCAACATGAGACCATCAGGGTCATCTGTCTGACCTGGGAGTTTCCCAAGAGGAAAGTCTTTCCATTGTATTTCATCTGGGTAAAAACACAGTACATAAAATAGAAGTCCGAGCTCACCAAAGAGATTTTCAAAAAGCAAGACTCCCCCCAGAGCCAAAAATACTATCTCATGCAACTCAGCAAACACGAGCAACCTCAGGTACTCAGCAAAAATAAGACTGAGTTATAGTTTTAAGTAACTTTCTTTCTAACCTTATTAGCTCTTTCAAAGAAAGTCTCTACACCTTGTGAGACAAAAGGAACACATCTGGAGTCAGGCATGATCACGCTGTCTACATAGTACAGCTTATCCAAACCACTGTGAGGCAATGTCCATTGAAAGAAACCTCCCACTATTCTAGAGCAACCCTTAATACTTACCTCTGTCATTAAAGCATACTTTTGTATGAAACTGATGTACTGATTACTATATGATAATTTAAAATTCACTTTGAAAAGGTTTATACAAATATTCACTCTGCATACTCCTGTAAATGGAATAGGCAATTATCACACACATGAAGATACAAAACAGCACCTTTGCACTATATAATACCAAAAACGATTTATTTTGGTTAACTGACATCTGTCCAGAAACCCAGACTTTGCTTTAAAGTACCAGCAGATTTATTCTTTTTTTTTTTTTTTCTTTTATGTCTTTCCTGGGCATTTAATAGAACTAAACCTCCTGACATATAACGGCGGTTTCTAAACATTATAATTTCACAATTTGAAAAGTGCACAAATAGTATTTGATAACATCCAACTCAAATGTAAGGCAAATTAGAGTTATATACAATGAACAGGCTAAGCCTTCTCTTCAGAGAGCAACCTAGTAAATAGCTGATGTATCACATGTCATTACAGTAGTTTTAGTTTTCAATTTGTTTAAGGATGGTAACTACACATCCTTGGTGTTATTCAAACAGAAATTAAATTTACCCAAAACCAACTACATAAACGCAATCTTCAAGAAAATCTTGTGGTTCAAGACACAATGTGTGTTCCTTTGGCAAAAGATCTGCTTGCTCAGAAACAAAGTCACTGATGTAGAGGACAATTTTGCTTCTGTTCTCAAAACATCCACCTCTAACAAGCTGTTCACATAAGCATAACTAAGCTGAATTGTTTAGGCAGATCTTACCCTCCTTTTTTTTTTTTTTTTTTTTTTTTAAACTTGGGAAATCTTCCCTGTGAGTGGGGTATGAGAGTTCATTGTCTTCCAATGGCTGCATTTTTCTTCTTTCTTTAAACACCACTTTGCCTCTAACTCCTCTACACCATCTCCTTTTCTTGCCTTTAAGTCCCTCCAGAAACCACTCACCCAAAAATTTTCTTAGCTGTTGAATCCTACATCCCAATGAAAGTATAGCTACCGTATGGAAGCTAAGAGAACACTGGATAAATCATTATTCACTCTACAAACTTCTTGCCTTGCTTCCAACTCTTGCTTGCTACCACGTCATGATTGCAGTTTGCCTGGAGCTTGGAACTTCCAAGAACCTGACTGGTGCTTTCAAATGCAGTCCAACTGTGCTTTCAGATATCCCTAATTCTGACAAATAAAGGTTAAGAAATATCTTTGTTGTCTTTGCCATTTACAGCTGGCATATACACTGTCCCATCAACTGGATATGGTGAAGTTTTAAACACTGAGATTGGAGAAGCCTGATAAAAAAGTTAAGGAAGAAGTAACAATGTGCTCTTAAAACAACACAGTGTTTTAAGAGCTTTTAGGGAGACATGACACTTGCACATAAACAGAAGACTGGAAAAAAGCAGTTTTCAGAGATTTGGCATTTAAATTATTTTGAAGCACGCTTCAGTTCTGGTCAGGCCCAGAGGGCTGACATGCCTCTGCATTTCACTTAGACCATCTTAACCACTTGTAAACATTAAATTTTATAAAAACTGTTTTTACCTGCAATGATCTGCCATGCAGACCCTTGTAGTGCTGCCTTTTTCTCAGCAATAGCCACCATGTTATCAGAATGAGCAAGTCCTTCCAAATGATTTGTTTCAGTTACCATCTCTTCTTCCTCCTCCTCTACTTCCTCTACACCATCATCTTTCTCCAGCACATCTTCTTGATTCTCTGCAGCCTGCCCTTCATTTTTAACCTGATTTTCTTGCCTCACCCTCCACTGTAAGCTCTCTATAGTGTAAATTGGCTGTTCACTGTAGTTTGACAAGAGGCCTGGGCTGGACAATGGACCACCTCCTTCCGTGTAAATGGATGTGAGATAGAGAAGGTTCTTCCGTGAAGAACGTGGCAAACGAGGTCTCATGCTTGTGAGGATCCTAGAAAGGAAAAGGGCAATGTAAAAGTTTTAAAAGCAAAAAGAGATTCTAAACGAAGGCTTATCAAGCTGAGCAGCCTTTTAAGTGCGAGCTTCCTCATGTATCTCCACTAAAAGGCAAGTTTGATTATTCCTAAGTATTGACTGCTGGAATACTCCTCCTTTGTGATTAAAATTAAGGATGTGGGATACTTCTAACTGAATTTGTGCTTTGCTATTTTTGTGTGAAAAAGGTGCCACCTGTGCTAAACCCATACCACCCGCATGAGCAATTACATCTCTGCTACTACATCACTTTTCTTCTAAGCTGCTTTCTTAATAAATCCACAGAATTTCCAATTTCATTCCAAAGGAGCAATTCTTTTAAGTTCTCCTCCTTCTCCTTGTAGAATCAATAGAAAGATGAGCAGCAACAAACACGGTTTTATACACACCTAGAATCACAGAATGGCTCAGGTTGGAAGGGACCTTAAAGATCACCTAGGTTCAACCCCCCTGATATGGGCAGGGCTGCTATCCACTAGATCAGGTTGACCAGGGCCTCATCTAACCTGGTCTTAAACAATTGCAAGGATAAGGCATACACAAGCCCTGGGCAATTTGTTCCAGTGCCTCACCACCCTATGAATGAATAATTTCTTCCTAACATCTAATCTAAATACCCCTCCCCCGCCCTTGTCCTGTCATTATCTGAGCAAAGAGTGGCTTTTTTTTTTTTTTTTTTTTTTTTTTTAAACAAGCCCCCTTTAAGCATTTAAAAGCTGCAGTGAGGTCACCCTGGAGCCTTCTCTTCTTCAGGCTGAACATCCCCAGCTCCCTCAGTCTTTCTTTGTAGGAGAGGTGCTCCAGTCCTGTGCTGGGGGCCCCAGACTTGGATGCAATGCTTCAAGTACACACAAGTACACACCTGCCATAATTTCTACTGGATGCAAAGGAAGGGAAAGGAACATAGCCATAACTCAGCGTATTACAGGGAAGCTGCCAAAGCTGTTAGAGAACATTGTTCACTGTCCTTTTTCTAGGTCACAGGATCAAACTTACAACTGAAGAAGGTGTGGGGTTGCCCAGCAAGGAGCTTCCAAGCAATTTTCAGTTAGTCTTATCCACTGCAAAGGAACTTTGTGGAGGAACAGCTCCTTCACATACACACGTTTGTTACAGCGGCGTCTTTTCTTCCCTTCAAAGAAGGTAACAAAAACAAGGTGCTCAAAACACATAAAAGTACACACTTCATCCCTTTGCATTTTTACTGGAGCTCTTATCCTTACACAAGCTGGCATTCCAAACCAAGTCCAAGACCAGATACACTGACTAAATATGTCGAACTCATTAAAAGGGACTTGCCAATGCACTAACAGCTAAATTAGCTTCACAAAATATGACAACAGTGAGATGCAGTTTCCCAAGCTTGTTCTGTGCATCCCACACAGGAAAGCCACAGGGCTGTGTTTGTACAGTATTGTCTCTAGTAAATGCAGTATACTGTTTCTGGGATCTGAGATCACTCCAGATAGCTCTGCAGTAAGTAGAATTAACAGCTGTGGACTGCTAATGCTCAGTATCTTGGTGTGTAACAGACATGCTCAGTGTTGGCTGAAAGCATCTAACAGGAACCTCCAATTACCACAGATAATGGCAAAATCTAGCCAGACCAGCAGAAGAGGTAGCAAAATTAACCAGCAGGAAATCTCCTTCAGGTATATACTATATCACAGTACAAAAGTCCTGTTAACAGAATTCTTATGACACACTTCAAATAATCAAAGCTCTTCTGTGCCACTCTCTGGAGTTAAACATACAGTTTACCAATTTAAACATTTCTAAGGACTTAGGCACAAAAAACAAAGTATTATTTTACTTCTGTGTAAGTTTAAAGGCATGACAAATCCATAGATGGGACTGAAGGAGGACAGAAAGACTACCTAAGTATATTGTAAAGCTAGGGTTATGTTAAGTGAGGAAAGAACTGGGAACAAGGAACTCATAATAATTTGCACATAACATGTTTATTTGATTTCTGTTACTGTTATTTCCTGAAAGTACTGGACTGGTCTTTCATGGGAGAGATTAGCTTTTTGTATCTTGAGGAAGCCACAGCAAGTTGCCAAAGAAATAGTAATTTCAAAATGTTGCTAAGAAATGCATAACATACATAAGCTGCAGCATAAAAAGTGTAAGAAATGCAACAATTAAAGCTCTAAGTTAACACGACAACATGTACTAATCATTTTATTGCACTTAAAATCTAAAGTACCCACCACCCTCCCCATTCCTGCAATGGTACAGAAGAGACTTCTACTTTTTTTTTTTCCCACACAGATATTACACACTCACCACTGTTAACTCTGGCAATGCTAGTCAGCATCTCAGAAATCCAGTTGATCAGGAACTGAGGACGGAGTTCTGAAGAATCAGAACATTCCTTTAACTTCATAAACATTTTGTCTATTAGGGTCTGTGTAAAACTTCGGGAAAGGAGGCCTGTCAGCAAGGGCTGCCAGAAGCAGTATAACGTCTGAGGAATTCTGAATTGCCATACTGCTTTATTTGCTGCAATAATTAGGAAAAAGAGAAGCCAAAAATCACTGTTAAGTAATTTTTTTGTGTACCACTGGTGTGCTGCTTGTTCTCAGTAGTTTGTACTGTGATCACCCTTGAATGTGGAGTCATTATTTTCTTATGTTAGGATATTAAGAGAAGCAGCAAATCAACAATAAATACAATAGCCCAACAACAGCAAAAAATACAATGCCTACATCTAATCACATAGTAAACCACAGGAAAACCTCACTCTGCTTTACTAATTCCAAGCCAGTTCTAGTTTATTTCACACATAATGAAGAGATATCCTGTATCTTTCTCTTGCAAAAGGAAGGCACATTGAGCAAAGCAACAAAGAATCAAAAAGCTTCTAAAACTTTACAACTGTAATATATGCACAGAAATTTGAGGATCATTCTCAGAAAGCTGTTTAGCTATTTTTCCTAAATGCTCTCAGGTAGATAAACAATTTCTCTTCATTGTCTCTACCTAACTAATTCTCTTTCAGAAACTCCATGCACAATTGGTCAGCAGCATGGAGTTCAGATGCAACTAGTGACTAAGGCTCAGAATGCCACCACTTACATTTGTTTGATATCTTCATTGTGGAAAAGAAACTAGAGAGAGTTCATTAACTCAGTAACAATTACGGATATGGGCAGAGATGCAAGCTTTGAAAGACATTGTGGTCAAGTAGCATTCAGTGTGGAAGAGCTATCCTTCCATAGTAAGAGATTTATACAAAAGCAATAACTAAGCATGTCCATAACAGGGCCTAGGGAGCAGTAGATTGTTCAAGGACCCAGACAAATAAAAGAAATTATATAGCAAATTAGAGATTTCAATATAATGAGGAAAAAAGAACAAAACTGGACATAACATTGGCTACACACTTTTTATGTAAGCTATGTGGTACCCAACACACTAACCTTCATACTTGATATTTAACATCTTCAGGCAATCGACTGTTGGGATGAGAAAACCATCACTGAGAAGAACTTCAGCCACTGTCTCCCTAGAGCAATCACAGAATCTTATTAACGCCACTTAGTCCCATCCATATCAAAACACCACTTACACTAGTTCTGAAACATGTTTGTGAGTCAACTAGAGCTATGTGGAGGTGATGTAGCTTCTTGTAAGGCACTAAAACCTTATGTCTGTTTTGGGCTGCATACATTCCAATTAGACTTGGAGTGAATATGCAACTACACCAAGTGGAGCAGAACCAGAACCCCGAAGAAAACATTTCTGCTTGAGGTGCAGAGGGAAATATCTGCCATTGGTATTTTAAGAATAGCCCAGGAATGTTTGTCATAAACCATTTATCATACTGAAATACCTACAGTTTTAAGCATGATTCGAGTTGCCAGCCAACAGATCAGTCAAGATCCAAGGACCAAGAGCGAGATTAAATTTAAGTGGAAAAACCAACCCTGCTGGCTTGCTGGCAGGGCACTTCTTAACACCCTATTCACAGTTGTTCAGCAGATTCAGTACAGTAGGGTCACAATTATTATTACCTATGGCAACTATAACTCTTTTTTGAATGTCTCCTGCCATTACAGCTATTCTTTGAACTACAGTTGGCCTGACAACATTGAATTCTCTAGCTAAAGGACCCATCTAACTACTAGGTTGGCTTAACACAAGAGAGAAACTGAGGACACCCACCCAGGTAAGCTGAACTGATGCTTGAAAGTAAAACAACAAAATGGACAAAATCAAAATTCCCACTGCCTCCATATACAGCCATATGCTTGAGTTATTCCGTTCATGTTTTCATCTTCTATCCATTAACTTTTCTATCGAAGCAAACATACAGTGCTAAAATAAACACTTCTCAGAATAAACATCAACATGGCCATTTTCAGGCACTGAAAAAATTCCACAGAAACAACTGCTGAAACCATTAGCATCATTGGATTTGGAATGGTAGTACCCGTGTCAAACATGGCATATTTTGGTATAGAATGGGTGAGAAAATTTGTCTTCTCCAAAAGGGATGATTTACAAATCTAAACATGCAGGTATGACTTAGATACAATATATGTTTTTACAGGTACAAACAGGAGCTGAAGAGCTCTGAGTGCAGAAGAAAACACACACACACTATGCCACTTTGTCATTAGTAGATAATGTGCTGGGAGATCAGAAGGCAGGCAGCAGAATGTAATTTGTTTCTGAGAACAAAATCAAGAATTAATCCTTCTCTTTTCTGGAAACTGTTCCAGGATGATTATCATTATTCCTACATGTAATGACGGCTCATCACCAACTATTTAAGGCTATATCCATGCAGACAGTAGCTTCAGTAGAGAGCCATCTTAGTAGAATAACACGACTAAGAAAGGTCCACTGGGTAAGTTCTCTGAAGCAGACAGCAGAGGATTCTTTGCAGTTAGCTCATGGTGCTTTAGTGTCACAGGAATCTTCCGCCCAGTACAAAAACAACAGTACAAAATTACAGTTTATGTTGATAGTGGAAACAAAAGGTTTTATCTGCAAATGCATAGGTATTCGAAATTAGAAAACTATTTTTGTAAGTCACTTGACGTATTCAAGAGAACTCATAAGCTCTGTTATCCCCGAATCCATAATCCAGGTCTCCAAACCTAATGAAGTCACAAAATTGTCAATACATTCCACATCAGCCTTCCTCCCTCCTCAGCTAGTTTATTTCCCATGAGTGAAATACCAAAAGAAAAAAAAAATCTCTCCTAAATAAAAGCAAAAAGCTCTCAGGGTCTTTAATTTAAACATCTTCAGAAATACAAGAGACTGCTGGAACAACTCCATCTTCAGCTGAGAAGGAAAGCACCACCAGTCAGTTCTCCAGAAAACCTTCACAGAGTCCACTGAGGACCCACAAACCCAGCTGCATTCATGACACATGACAGACTCTGTGTGACAGAACGAATAAGACAACTGCAGCATTTCAGTGCAGAGTTGAAGCAAAGCAGATGCAATTACCACAACAGTATTCATAAATAAATTCTAAAAACCACTGTGCTCATTTATATAAAAATATACGCAGAAACACATGCTGAAAGCTTGTGGAGTTTCTTTTTTATTAAGTAAAAAGTGACTTGATTATACGTACTTGCCCACTCATTGTTGCTTTGGTAGCATAACACTATTCATCTTCTCAAACAAAAATGTCACATGGCAAAAAATGGAGAACAGACTTGTAGCAAAGGGCTCTACAGAAGCAGAGCTTTTATTCAGCTTCAGAAGGACTAAGTGAATCTGTGACCATTCCCATAAGAACATTTAATGGAGAATTTCCTCTAGAGTAAGATGAATCTGCACTTAAGAGAAACCCCATGACATAATATTGTATTTATGTTGCAATATGAAGGTTGATGGAAACCAGTGTGACAGGGTCTCATTTTCAATACAGTTAACATGCTATGATTAATAAGCAGAAGGCACATGTATGAATCCTTTCTGGGAACTACTTTTAATAATTCCAGGCTCTTAAAGAAAACGTGTAGGTGGTTAAAACAATGGATATAGGCACAGCCTTCCATTAACTATAAATATAACAGCTTGTGTTCTTTAAAAAGTTGCAGCTGGATGCTAAAATAAAATAGCATGAGATGAAGTAGGTGCTCAGGGGTGAAGTAGGGGAGTGAGTGACAAACCCTAGAGTTTGCTCTACCATTCTGAGGCTTCCAATCAGCCTCTGTCTCACCCTTTATAAGAGGACTGTACTTGTGATTTGGTTGATTGTATGTCACGTTCAACAAGCTCAACTTGTTCTTACTGGGATTTAGCACTTGTTGGTAATGACATCTTTATGTAAGCTAGTGTAGCATATAAATGCTTTGTTCAGATGCAATGGGGCCTTTGAACTGTTACTACTCTGAAATATGCAGCACAGTGCAACTCTTCCAACAGGTGAGGTCTTCATTAGAAAATGTAGATTAATTGAAAAATCAGTTTCTCTCTCAAGCGGAAACATATCATTCAAGCAACTTTCTAATGCGAACCAGCATACCGCCTGGCGCTGGCTTCTTTGTTAAAGCACATGCATGTTGCAAAACAAACAGTCATATCATATAAAGATTCTTCCTTAAGCATCCAGACAGGAGAACATTGCAAGCTGTGTTTTTGAGACAATGACCCTGCTGCATGAAAGAAACTCCAAAACTTCCTGAATAAGTCATCATAGTTCCAACAGCAGGCTGCCAAGATGGCAAGAGACAAATAGTTAGCAGGATCTACCCTCCACTCTCCCATGCAAGCTCAGCTTTGACACACAGCCCATTTACAGGTATTTTTAAATGCGTAATTGAGGTAGCAATCTCACTGCATTACAATATTCAGTCTTTGCTATATAACAGGTGCACATTCTCATTGTGGGGAAAAAAAATAAATTCATGCAAATAATTTTCATCTTGTAAAATTAAAATGGGAGAAGTAGGTGTAAAAAAGGCTTAAATAAGGTGAAGCATGGCAGCACCAGGCCTACTTGAAGCAAAAACAGAGATTGAGAACAGATAAAGTAAGTCTTTGGTATGAGAACGGTCAGTAGAAAATAGAATTAAGTTGTTGAGGCATAGCTGAGAGTTTCACAAACAGACGACAAATTTTCTAACTGCTATAATTTTGGACGCATCTTCTCCTAAGCATGACAATTTACTGCTGCCCTGTAATCCATGATATCACATTCACCTGAAGCAAGAAGGATGTAGAAACAATTTAATCCTAATATCACTTTAACTTCAAGAAATGAACGCAAAGTAGTGCAATTCACAACACATTGTATAGTAATTAAATGTTTTGTTTATAATTTACAGCTATCCCAAATATTTCCACAAGTAGGTCTTTTTTAAAGATGAAAAATCTAACCCTTCCGTTTGACCTACCAACATGGAAAGACACAGGCCTACCTATCACAACACCAACACTGAGGTATCTTAACTACTCAGCCAGATTAACAGCTTTTCAGAAGAACAGATTTATGAGCATGCACTTTTGGAGCATATAAACAGAAGCTGCTCATCAGCACACGACAGTGCACATATTCCATCCAAGCTAGAGGTGCAGTTGGGGTTGGGATGATTACTTTACAAGTCTTCTCTACATCTGCCAGACCAGAGTATTTTGTATGGTCATGCAAAAAACGCTGCTATATACATGCATATATGCTGGTTACATCACGCTGAATAGAACGGGAGTCCACAGAAGTAGATTAAAACAGCTTAAAGCCACACTTGAATTCAAGCCTGTTAAATTGTTGCAGAGGTGCCACACTAATCGCAGGAAAACAAACTCTTGCACAAGCAGGCTAACATGGGATCCTCCTGCCATACTGCTCTCAGAGTATTTGCTATTCGCTCGAGAGTACCCTTCAGAAGTGAGGGGAAAGTACAACCAACCTTATCAGCAGAGAAGCTACTTACCACAAGCTGTGATAACTGTTGATGCTGTACACAAGTACCACCTCCAGTCAGACTGCTACCAGTATCTTAAGAGTTAGAAAACACTCTAGAGGTACTCAGTCTACTGCAAAGCAGAAAATTGGCTATTTATATTAGCTTGTTGTCGTTGGTGGTGTTTTTTATTAAAGTTAATATTTCCAAAGAGAAATACTCCGAGTCTTTCCAAAGAGAAATTCCTCTTTTTACTACACATTTGGGGTGAACAGTATCTCCATATTAGGATCTTATGTCATAATACTCACATATACCATTATCCTTTCACTGAACAAACTCAAAAGCAGCTTCCTCACATCCTTGCCCTCCCGATAGTCCCGATAGCCACTAGTGAAGTTTTAATCAATAGCCCTGCCTCAGAATCCCATCCCATTCACTAGCTGTCCATTCTAACAGTTTAAGAACATATGAGACGGTGAATTCAGCCTAAAGAGTTCTGAGAATCACCTGTGAAATTCAAAGCAAGATGTAGCGTGTGAGGTACTTGACACAGAAAATTGAAATTACTGAAAGGGAAAAATGTTATCACGGTTTGGCTATGCAGGTAGTAAAGAACAAGTACTGGAGAGCCCTGGAAAGTGGCTGGGTATTCCAAGTGCTTGTAGCCTCACATATCACATCAGTTTCAAGGGTTTCAAAAACGAAGCTACCATAACCCCTCTCTTCATCTAATAGCACGTGGTATTTCGCAGCTAAATTAGGACTACTTGGAAGCACAGGTGCCTCAAAGCCACAAATGGAGTCAAAAGCATCTGTCATGACAATTAAGTCTTGCAGACATAAACTAATAGGAGAGCATGCCAGCAAGGCAACAGTGGAAAGACCCCAACTACATGACTACCTTAAGATCTTTACCACTTCAGTTTCATTTTATGAAAAGGGTATTTCTAAGATCTTTTAACTGTTACCAAGACATTACACCCCTTGCTTGAACATACCCCATCAAATCAATTTCACGTAAGATTGAAGTCTCTTGTTCTCACTCAGACCTTTCACTACTCGTTTTGTACTGTGGCAATCTGTTTCCTCTCTATCATGTAATTGATGCCAGGCTCAAATATCTTTATAAAAGCAGCTCCACTGGACCAGACTTTAGTCCATCAGTGCCCTGAGAGTGGCCAACAGAGAGGATGCTTAGAGAAAGGGTATCAGAATCAGAAACAGGTGCAATTGCTTGCTTCCACCAATACCTTCCAACTTTCTAGCAACAGTTTAAGTTTTATAGAATTCCCATGTTCAATAAGTATGCTTTTCAATACAGAAACTTCATGCCTTCTTGCTCATTTGTCCATGCTCAGCCACTGATGGGCAAGGTGCAAGTCACTTTCTCAGTGTTTTGTTTTGGCATAAGATCTGATAACTGCTTAAGCTAATCGGCAGCTTGCATGACATATATATATTTATATTCAAAACATCATAAGATATGCCTCAAGTTTATAATTTGATTGTCTCTCCCCTCTAGAGTTACGCTGATTACATTTGTTGGAGTGGGACAGGGTCTTCATGCAAATTTATACAGCAATAACAAAGTGTCAGCACGCTAGGTCCAATAGGATCCAGCAGTATCCCTGTAGCAGTAGAAGGATATGAAATATAGAAGAGGCCAACTATCGCCCTACAATTTTGAAAAATTCTAAAGGTTACTATGAAATCAAAGTCTATCCAAGGTTCTTGGGAGAGCTTTTGAAGACACTGAAGATGCTGACATGCCTGAGGGTCAGCAGAGTAAAAAGAGAGACAGCACCCCACACTTGGGACACCATCTGGCATGAGAAACATTATTCGTGAACAGAGATTAACAACTCAGTGCTCAAAGATGTTGTTGAGGAAATCAACCTATTGCCTTTTCCAGGATCAGCTAAACAACACACAGTGAAAAGGTAGTGCAACAGGTGTACAGGCTCAGCTCTGCACTGTACCTTTCACCTCAGCTCCTTATCAGAGATGTACCTGTTCTCTTGCATCAAGTCTTTGATCTGAGCCAAAATCCAGTCCACCTCTGAAGAAGAATTAGACCACAATTCTCGAGACTTTGAAACAGACTGGACTGTCTGCATAACCTGAGTGAAGGAAAAATCCAAGTGTTAACAAAAAATATACTCCAGTGATCAACAGAAAGGCGCTGCTATGAAAACCAGATGCCCATGTGATATATACTTCATAAAGAGCACTTGAAAAAGACTCACAAAGTTCCCTTTCCTAGGGGTATATTAGAAATTAATATAAGTCATGTCATACTCAGAAAAAAACTGCATTGAAAAGGTGGTAGGACCAAGGAGCCTCTAAAAATAAGCAACGTATTACATCCTTGAATATAATGCAGTAGCAGTATAAAAGGAAGGCTATCTGGCTGAATCTAATAAATGAATATGGATTAGAGAATAAAGCAGGGGCCTAGAAATCGAGATTACTTGGTTCAAACTGAGGTTGTCTTAGGGTACTGTGCTTTCATTAACAACTGTTAATGGGATAGAGAGACCGGCATATATAAACCCCTCGACGGCAGATAGAATTACTTCATTAAGCCTTAGTCATTAAATGCTCCCATGATTGCCAGGGGATGAAAACAAACTTAATTTTGATTACAATTGTGTTTTTCCTATAAATGTCTTAACCTACCCAGAACTGTGGAAAGAATGAAGGAAAAGCTAGTATGGGAAGAAAGAATGCAGGAACTTTTATCGTTTGAAGTTTTAAGAATAAAGCAAAGCCCAGGTTTTCTCCTTCTACACAATCTTTCTTCCTACTTCCCTACTTTGCATTACCCTCAAAACAAAGTAATCCTGGGAAAGTGACCAAAAAATACAAATCCAAAATAAAAAACACCCTTGAATTTATGGAAATAGGAATTAGTTTTTCTGCTCAGGAACAGTAATGAAATTCTCACTTTTTCCTCTAAGATGACAGAAGAGGTCCAATGCATGCCTAGTCATTTTACTGTTGAACTGTGCTATGTTATACTTTATTAAATGTCTTTGCAATAAGAAAGCATGAATGAAAAAGACAAGCCCTCCAAACCAAAGAGCTATACAGATTGAAAAGAATTCTCTCATATCTCCCCATATGTTTTCAGAAGGCAAGGAAAAGAATTGTACATCTAACAGGTGTTTGGCTATGAACAGTTACTTTAAAGCACACTTAAACTGCAAGCAAATACATGTATAACACTCTCCATTCTGACTTGACAGTGTGAAAATGGAATATTTGAGAATCTTTAAAGACAAAACAACCGGTGGTGCTAGTGATGGGGGACGGCTGAATAATGCAACCGCTAGAATCCCATCAGAATCCTACACTCAAGTATTCAAAAAGTAGGTGAGAAATGAATTGAAAGCTAGAGTTATTTCTTCAGTGACTTCAGGCCTTAAATTTATCCTTTAGAGGATTTTTTTTCTGATGTTTGTATTCTATCAATAACCTACCTACCAACACTGTAAATTCTTCTAAATGCAATTTTAAGTGACGAACGTTGGACATAATTTGGACATAATCCAGAAGTTGGACTCACTGATCTTAATGGGGTCCCTTCCAACTCAGGATATTCTATGATTCTACAAAATAACACCTGTAAAACAGAATTCTGTCTGTGCAAAGGGAAAAGGTCAGACTATACTTACCCGAAATTGCTCATCTTTGTAGGATATCAGCACATCTCTGACTTTTTCTAGAAATAAGCATAAATATATAGTTTAAGCAGGGAATAGATTAACTGTGCAATGTTTTCTTGTATATAGGCAAGCTGCTTAGTTCTGCAGTTCTAGAGCTGTGAGCTGCAGTTCTGTCTTAGTCAGACAATACTCTGAAGACTCCTGCAACTTCCCGATTTTTCTGGCAATGGAAATCTTATCAAGTGGTGTTGAACTAGGGGTTCAGTATTTTATCACTAGCAGTGGACAAAAACAAGTTGGATAAATGCAGACAGCTCAAAAAAAAAACATAAGTAGGCTTCCTCCAGTAAGTCAATCAAATCTGTTGAGTAAAGCTCTTGATTGTAGGGTTCAGAGACTTCTGGTGACGAAAAAGCAACCAGTGGAACAGTTTACCAAACTTCTGCCATTGTTTTTGCACTTTATGTCTTACCAGCTTATGTTCTGGTTGAGTAACCTGTGTTTTTTGTGTGTGTGTTGTTTGTTGTTGTTATTGTTGTTTTTAACATACTACTGGCATTTAGTGATTTCCTGCCTACATGTTAAGTACATAGAAACTAGCTGAACTGTCTTTATTCTGCTCCTGCTCAAATTATGATCTGATAACGTTTTGAGGTCTGCAAAAGGCACATAGTCTACTTTTTTGGTAGCCATCTCAATCCCAAAATTATGGCTGTCACGACACTAGAATTAACTTTCACAATGTTTGGTCTTAAACCATCCCTGTGTCACTACTGTTACTGATTACGATACTGTATATTCAATAACGTAAAAGATTTTATGTGACTAATTCAGTGAACTTAGGTCAGAAAAGTCAGTTACCCCAGAATCCATCAAGATCCATAAAACAATCCCAAAATGTGAGCTGAAGGTATACCTTTATCCATTGTCAGGGATCAAAGATGACACTGTTTTGCTAGGATGGGACAGATTTAATTCTTTTTATCTGCTGTTGTTCCAGGGACACCTACCATGGAATTCCTTGTGCTTCTGACAGGCCTCATGCTGTGGGGTTTGAACTTCCCATGTGTCATTGTCCAATTCTGTGTTTGCTCCCATTGCTTCCTGCTCCTCTTCCTGCTCCTCTTCCTCCTCCTCCTCCTCCTCACTTTCTTCACACAAATTATTGCCCAACTGACGGCTCCAATATGTCTTTCGTAGCCAGTCCAGCACAACATCACAACCTAACGGAGAATATAAAACACTCTCTTCTCAGTGAGGTTTACTTTCCTATTTAACAAAAAAACGCAGGTGGCATATTGCTAACTCGCATTGCAAAAAGAAACACCATTAACAAACCCTGAAATCACATGCTACTCTATTAATGAAAAGGTGAGTGAGTTTAGAAAACCAAACCAAAACAAAAACCCACACAATCCAGTATTGCAGCCCTGGTAACACCTACCCACTGCCTTTTTGGCAACAAAAAAGATTGGACACTCCTTACTCAAGCTACACCACATTTAAGTGGAAAAGAAGTCCCAGCAGTTGCACTCTACTGAGAAAACAAGTCAATTCTTTTATAGGTCTGCTACCAACACAACGTCTAAAGCAAAAATATATTTTTTTGGTGCAGACTACAGTAGGCATACCTTAGATAGAATGGAAATAAAAACCCTTTCAAAGACAGACAAACCCAACACTATTTTGCTACCAAATTCAATTTAGGACCCTGCCGAAGGTTATTTCTCTGCCTCCTCAGTGTTTAACCCCAAACTCCCAGGAATTCCTTCATAGACTATGAGCTGGTCATTTACTCAGGGTTGCGTTACCTACTGCATCTCCCCCTAAAATGCTTTTTTTTTTTTTTTTTTTAAAACAGTCTCGGGTACATTGAAACCATCAGGAAGAGCATTCACCTCCTTCCCTGATGTGAACTTTATGTGCTGTAAAGAAACATTAGGGCTGAACTACTGTTTCCAGTATTTTTTTCAGGGGAAAGAGAAAATCTCTGAACACCTGCCCCATCAAATGGAAGGTCATTCCTTCCCACAGAGTTAGAGAACCTCCAGTCCTTTTTGAAAGCCTAACATTGGCTACATCCAGTTGCACTTTCCCCTTCCCAAAAACTGGAATTCTGCCTCACCTCTCCCAACAACAGAAGGCATGGGAGAGTGAAGAGCAACATCCCCTCCGTGGCCTTGGTTTCCCCTCCTCTTCTGCATGCTACTCAATGGGCATGCTTCAGCTACCCCCACAAGGCTGCGGCACACCCTCACAGGTGTTTCACACCACAATGCTCCCCATAAGGATGAGTCCACAGCCCGCTCAGCAGGGCCCCAGTAGGGAGGGCTGCTTCCCTCAGGGCTCTGTACCAGCTGTGATGCGTCCTGAGGGGACACTGCTGCCTAAGTGCACTGCAGGCGAGGCCCTCCCACACCTTCCAACAATGGCACTCACCCTTGCGGCACAGAGCCAGGCGGGGCAGCTTCCCATGGGTCAGCTCATGGCGCAGATCCACAACCCAGATGGGGATATCCACCTGCAAAAGCAGCTACAGGCATCACCACACAACTCCCATGGCACTGGGCCTAACCATACACAGCTCTGCAAAGCTGCAGACAACCTCTTCCTGAGTGAGAACAACTTCTCCAGCTTCCCCTTTCAAGTGTGGGCTGAGATCCCTCCTCTCTGACCCCGGTCCTCCTGGGGCCTAGCATCCATACAAACGCTGGAGAAGTTGTTCTCCATGACAGTTTGTAATGAAGATATGATCACATCATATGAAATACTCAGATCATATACACTGTGAGTTGTATTTGCATTTTTCCCATGGATAACTGACTTAATAATTAAGGTCTCTATTTGCAAGTTTGATCAGTGTTAAGAAGTGAGTAGCAGCACCTTTTTAAAAAAACAAATTAAAAAAAAATCTCCTTTCGCATATAGAGTCATTGGACAAGGCTGCATATCTAGGAGTCTCAAATACTATCTGCTCATCCCTGTCAATATTTGCTGTTCAAACCCAGAAACGATGCTCAGCGCACCTGACAAAAAAAGAACTCAAGTTACCACTACACCCTGAATCTTCCATCCTCCAAACAGAAACTTACCTTAAACAATTGAGAATAACAAGATGAAAATGCCTGAAAATATAACTAAGTGCTTTTAATGCATTATCTTGGTTCTCAAAGAATTGAATTTATTAACTATAGACTTAGCTCTTTTTCCATCTCTCAGTAATAAAAATAGGTGGCATATATGTCAAGTGGGACTATTTGCATCTAAAAATTCAATCACACAGGATTCAAAATGTTTTAGTGAACATCACCAGACTTCGTTACTCCTAATGTGACTTTAAAGAACATCAAGCACCTTCAGAGCTTTGCAGTTGGAGAGTACAGGCATCTGTATCCATTATTTTGCTTATGAAATAATGACCCTGACAACTCCTCACGATGTTATTAATAGCCAACATACACGCTCCCTGTACATAAAGAAGTTATTGGTTAACTTTTATTGAATATTTACCTCTATGGCTAATTGTCTCAGCGGAATGCTGACCATTTTCTGTTTCCTTTCTGTGATCAGGTTGACAAATCTGCATGCAGGTTACAGAAAAGATAAATAACTTTATCAAAAGCTGCAAAGAAACTTGGAACCCCAGGTCAAATCCCCCAGAAACCGTACAACACTGGAGTCCCAAAGACCTAAAGTGGAATGAGACAGCTGAATAACGCTCTCTGCCCAGATCTCTCTTTTCCTTGTAGGCCTTCAGAGTCCTACCTTACAAGGGCCAGACCATAGGACAGGATGAGCTCGTGTGACCTCAGTCTGCCAGATGAATCCAGAACCTTGCAACGAATCAGTTCAGCAGTACAATCCACTGCAAGAGGCATTTTAGGGCCATACCTAGAAATTAAAGAAATGATGAGCAGCCTCACAAGAATACACTCCCCCTACAAAAAGGGTAGTCTTCACAATACTTTTTGTGCTTTGTGGTACTAAGCAGCCTGAGAAGAGGTATGCAGAAAGACACTAAGGCTTCTTCCAGAAGACTTTTACTTGGAACAGCGATCGCACAGCTGCTCCTAGGCAGGTCAAATGAGTACCTACTGACGTGCCAAACGTCAGCACTCACTGGCACTCATACAGCACGAGTCGCTGTAACCGGACCGGGCTCCTTTACGGTGCAGCAGAGGCAACGCACAGTAAGACGACGCGGGGGCCCCGGCCGCGGTTAGCGCGGCGCGCCGTCCTGAGCAGAACGAGTCCGGGAGGCTGCGGGCACGCAGGGCTCCTGCCTTCCCCGGCGCCCGCGGCCCCGCGCTATTACCGGCGCCACCCGCGTGTCCGAAGGCGACTGCCCAGAGAAGGGGCCCCGCAGGACGAGGCGCCCGCGGTCGCGCACGCCGCCTCGGCCGGCCCCGCCAGGCCGTGCCGAAGCAGCCCGAGGCGCGCAGCCCCGCACGGCCGCTTCAGGGACCGCGGGGGGCGGCCCGGGAGGCAGCGACGGCTCCCCGCTCCCGCTCCCGCTCCGCTCCCGCCGGCGCGCGGCCCGTACCGGCTCTTCCAGGCCGAGACCCGATCCAGCGCCTCCTGCTGCAGGCGGCCGTCCCCGCAGTACAGCCCCACCATCACCTGGTCCCACTCCGCCCTGCCCCTCCACGCCACCACCGTCCGCAGCGGCTTCAGCCGCCTGCGAGGCCCGGACAGCCACGGCCGCCCGCCCGCCATGCCACCGCCCGCCCCGCGCCCCCCGCCCCCGCCCGCCTTCCGGCCGCCCCGGCCCGGGGCGGGGCGCGCCGCTTCCGGCTGCTCAGGGGCTGCGGGCGGGTGGGCGCTGGGCCGTGTGGCTTGTGACGCGGTTTTTTTTGTTTGTTTGTTTTTTTCAGTCGCCTCTTCTCTCGCTGATCTGTTCTCTCTAGGCACCAGTGACGCCGATCTATTCTCCTTAGTCACCAGATACAGGACCCGCGGGAATGGTGTCAAGCTGAGGCAGGGGAGGTTCAGGCTGGACATCAGGAAGAGGTTCTTCACCGAGAGGGTTGTTGCGCACTGGAACGGTCTCCCCAGGGAAGCAGGCACTGCACCAAGCCTGTCGGAGTTTAGGAAGCGTTTGGACTGTGCACTTGGTCACATGGTCTGAATTTTGGGTAGACCTGTGTGGTGCCAGGAGTTGGACTCGATGGTCCTTGTGGGTCCCTTCCAACTCAGGACTCAGGATCTTCTATGATTCTGTGATTCTCCTCGGTCAGTTTGTGCCATCCCAGGAACACGCTTATGTTAGAGGCCAGGAGAAGACAGAACTGCAAGGTGGGATGGGAAAAACGTGCTGGAACTGGAAGCCCGTGGGAGCTGATTGCAGCGACGTTGCAAGCAGCAAAGCTAAGCTTTAGGTTCTGGTTACTTAGGAAGACCCGTTGGAAAATACAGAGTATTACACACAAGATGTGGGGGGTTTCAGCCCTACCAGGAGCTTGGTGTGTGATCTGAGTCAAATCACATTAGATGTCATTTAAATTTAACATTTTTTAAATTAGTAATCATAATAAAAAAGGACCTTTTTTGTTTGTTCGTTAGATTGATTCTTTTTCTGTTACTAAGGAGAATAAAGACTCTAAGCAAAAGCAGTGGATAAAAATGAAGTTGAGCTACAGCAGAAATTGACCAAAATCCAATCCTTCTACTACTGTGGTAAATAAGCTTTGTAAATGAGATCACAGAAAAAGTATTTCTGTTAATATTTTCTTTCAGATAGTACCTTCCTGAGAGTGCCACCTTGCCTTCTTCATGCAGCTGTAACTTGCAAAAATTGGCACTTTGGAAAATCATTTTGCATGCCTGGGGAATAGGGACCTGCATCCAAACAAGCAGATAGGGAACTCTTAAGATAGTGCTCCTCAGACACAGTAATAAACAAAGGCATGTGCTGATGCAGTAAAATTCTAATTGCAGTACAGCTTCTTTCCTGCATTGGTCCATAATGAATTGTATAGTGTGTGTTATAAATACAAGTTTTAGATGTGTTCTGGAGTTTGATCAAAGGTCATGGTTTATGTAATGTAACCTAGATTAATGTATCCACCTGTTTTTTGTTTTTTTTTTTTTCCAGACTTACTTCCCTTTCTTAAGCTGAGTACATCAGGAGGTCAAAATCATCATTGTACGGATGGGCTACAGTCGCATGGATTTTCCAAAATAAGGGGACGACCACTCACCTCCCCCTTCTTTAGTAAAAGCTTTGATTTTATGGCTGCACTTATATAAAATTCTGCAGTGTACCGTTTTCTTTGAAAAACAGTTTGTAGGTAATTTTTCATTGTCTGCTGCATTGTTTCTCTTCTCTAAATGTATTTGAGAGATTAAGTTGGGGAATGGCTGAATCTCTAATTTTTAGCAGCACAGAAATTGAAAAGTACTAAGAAAATATTTGCTTTATTGTATATTTATGTTGCCCATTGACATAAAATCAAAGTTGTGCAAAAAATTGAAAGTACTATTTTCTGCCTATATAGAGGTAAAAAATGTTTGTGAAGGGTGACAGTACAACATTCTATTTGAATGTAAATGTTTAACTTTTGTTATCTGATGAAAGGGTAGACTTAGATTTTGTTGCTGGATGTAACTGGCCTTATGATCCTGAGCAAACTGATGTTGTAGTTAGTGCCTCAGCTTCTTGCATGTTATCTTGTTGAGGAAGAACATACAGCAATGTACAAAAGGACACTTTTACCTAGCCTGACATTCAGAAAAGGTAAGTGTAATGTGTTATCCTGATTTTAGTCTATTCACCCATTTCCTATATAACATATAGAATACAAGCAGGTAATGCCAAAACTTGCTGAAGCTGCTAAACCATGCAGGTCAGACTTTTGGATATCTTATTTCTTTACAAGAAAATATCCCACAAATCAAAAGAACAGTCTGTCATTCTCTGCAGGAATCAGCTACGTAGCTTGAAGGCTGAGGAGGTATGAAGTCTGCCTGTTTTTTTGTCAGTCAGAAGGAGAAGCAAAAACATCAGATGACTTTCTTGTCCCTCACGTGCATGGAAGTGATTTCCAGGATTACTTGCTCCATTGTTCTTTAGTGTATGGAGTCCATATATAGGAAAATATTGAATAACAGTGACCCTCTTAAGTTTAAATACCTGTTAGTAAGTTGAAAGAGAAAGAGGACAGACAATTTCCATCAACAGTTTTGCTTAATGAATGTCTGACGCCAAAGAAACTGGGTGGATATGCTTGTTACAAATACTCAAAAGGACTTTTCTTCCAAATGAGGTGTCTTTCAGACCCTTGTTTTCAACAGTACTGAGGATTGTTTTGAGTAGCTACAGGCCCTTCTGTAGATTGGTTCTGTCTTTCCCCAAGACTGTCTGGATTTTAGAGTAGCTTAATCTTTTTATTCAATATTCAGAAGCAAGTTTTTGTTTGCAGAACTGTTAATCATCCTCAACAGGTTTTTATGAGCATTCTCTGCTTATACTGGATAGCTAAAATTCCTTTTATATTCTAGCACAAGTGCAGCTAATGAAGCCTATGCTACTTTGGACTAACATGAGTATACCTGATTGCATAGTTCAGAACGTGCTTCTCCATGTGAGTCAATAGAAAAAAAATCTAGAAATTCTGCCCATTACAAAATATTTGTTAAATATAGAAGATTATGGGACAGAAGTGCTACAGAAATTCTGGAACTGGAAAATAAGGTTGCTCAGACTTCATTAGTATATGGATTTAGTCATCAGCATTTGAAGCAGTTCAGTGTCCAGCAAAGCTGAATGAGTTCTGTTAAAATGCCATCTTTGAATAATACATCAGTTCAGCCTCATGCCCACACCCCCAAAAGTCTGCTGTGTTCTTTGGTAGGTCAAAACGAAACAAAAGTTTCATTACTCGGAAGAACTGTAAGGCTGAGGGAACAGATTTGACATTTGTTGCCAAACTCCTGCAGTGTCTCATGCAGTGAAAGTGAACTCTCAGAAGGTATGAGGCAGGGACAAAAGTTGGAGCAGGGCCCTATTCTCTGGAAATTGAGTAGCACTTTTCAGCTGCTTAAAGGATGTTCTGAAATCACAAGCTGTTTACTGCAATCAAGGGCTCTTATACAGAGTACAGGAACATCGTGTCATTTTGCTTTCCAAATTCTTTTAGGGTTTCAGAAGTCAACTGCAATGCAAAGCCTGTAAAAGCCATATACTGCAATGCTGTGGAACAGATAGGATGCATCAAACTTGATCAGACTACCTGTTCCTGCTTCTGTATCCTCAGAGATGTATCAGAGATTAAATTTAAAGGAGTTTTTCATTCTTACTCTCTCTGGACAGCAAGAAAGATGTGAAGAATTTGATGGCTGTAATAGAGGTAAATGGAAGGAAGGGCTGAACTAGCACAGATTTCACATGCTTCATGTGCTTTCAGAGTCTGAATCAAAGGGGAATTATGCTTGTGCTATTGCTTTGTTTATGATGTCTGGCCATAAGGTTGCTCAGTGCAGAACTGGGAAGTGGTGGGCAAAGATGGCTTGTTGTCCTGAATGACTCACCCAAGATTGGCAGCATTTTGCTATACCAGTTTCTGCAGTTTCGGCTGAGAGAAAAGGACAGGATTGTCTGTGGTGTCCCTGCAGTGCTTTAGTAATCTGGATGGTTAAGGCAAATGTGGTTACTTGTACCTACAGGTGAAGTGCCGGTGAGGAACGAAGAACCAGACTGCTGTTTTATCTAGAAAGGCCTAGACAGAAAACCTCTTTGAAAAGAGATTTCAATATATCAGGGTAATGTAGGTAGTGGATTAAAATAAAGAAAATCCAGGAGGTAAACTGTGATAGTACTTTCTCTAAAAGGACCTGAAACTGCTTTTCTCTTGCATAACTGAAAAAGGAGCCCCCAGAGCCTTTCTGAATAATCTTGCTGTGGCTGGGAAGAGGGAAATTCTTTTTCCTGACTTCTTTCCAGAGGGATTGAAATAAGCAGAGGTGATACCTAGAAACAGTGTTGGAATATCAACAGAAAGGAAATTTAATGTGCAAATTTAATGTGCAGTGCAACATGCTTTTTTTTTTTTTTTTTTTTTTTTTTTTTTTGTCTGGGATCAACAACCGTGTGCCAGACTTCTTCCCAGTGTAATTAACGTCCAAAAAATGCACTTCAAATGAAGGGGTGCAAAAGATTAAGCTTTGGAGTATCCAGAAATGAAGTAAAAGCTCTTTAAACCAATTAAAAAGGAGGGATTGTGTCAAGAAGATGTGAGTTGAGTCTTTTTTGTTGTTGTTGGTTGTTTGCTTCTGTTGTTTTTTATGTTATTTTTAAATTTGAATAAGGCACAGCTAAGAAAGAATGATGCTCTATCTGCCTTTCTATGGCTTGCAAATTTAATCTCTAATTGGTTGTAAGACATTTGAGCTCCATGTGTTCACCAAACACCCTGGCCCTTTGAGGTTGTTAGGAGAGCAGTGGGTGGCCGAGCAGTCAGAAGTGCATCTGTACTGGCAGCTGTTGCCTTCTTTTTTGTGTGTTATTCCCTAGAGCACAGAGAGAGACTGCTGGTAGGGCAGCGAATGAGAGATTGGGGCCTCTGCACCTCTTCTGTGCTATTGGCTGGTTTTGTTTTCTGGCATCTGAGATTTGAGCTTTGGACACTAGCCACCAAACATCATGTTTTCAATGAATTTGTCTCTGTTCTTCCCAGTCTCTTCTCCTTTCCTATGTTTGCAGAGTTGCAAAGGTAAGATTATGAAATGCTACTTCTTGGCTCATTTCTCACATGGGGATTAGTATGCTAAATGAGCGGTATCTACAGATAAAGACAAGTTTAGAAGGGATCTCGAATAACACTGTTCTTTACACAGCTACGCAACAGAGGCCAATGTAGCTCAGATTTTCTGAATGACTAATTACTCTAACCTGCTTAGAATCATTATGTGTGAATACCCGTGCAGCAAGTACAAAGCAATGCCTGCACCCTTGTAGTCCTTACTCTTAATCCTGCATTCAGTGAAGTCAGCAGTTCTACACTGACTTCAGGGGATGCTGGGTCAAGCCTCACGTGTGATGCTTGTCAAGGGATGTATTATAGGAAATAGGCAACTGAACATGCTTTCTGATGCCAGAGGCCTTGGCAGTAGGTTCTGATGCTTTTCAGATATGTGAGACAGCCCTGAAGGAGGAGACGGCATGTTCTACATTTTTATCATTTTTATCTAGTCTAGGAGTCCTACATAAAGGCTCCAAGTAAAAAATATATATTTTTTTCCTGTTCAAGAAGAAGAACATAATCTGCAGTACTCAGCACAGTTTTAATGTCATTTACCTTATAAAGGCATAGCTATAAATTATGAATATTTATCTTTTAACTGGATAGTGTTACCTAGGTTTTGTTTTGAAATAACAAATATTGTTGAGGTATGGAAAAGAGCCCACATCTTGTTGTTTATACAGCAGGGTGAAGTGTTAAGATTATTTTGTTTGGTAAATAAAAACTGCTATGTACAATAAGTTTTGTGTTTAAATTTCATTTAGGCTGTATTTTAATTGCAATTTTTTTTTTTTTCTGATAGTATGATTTTTCTGTTCAGGATAACATTTTAATTTTTTTTTTTTTTTTAATTGAAACACTAGGTAATTTCCCCCTATTCCAATCCAATTAAAATGAGTTAGTTTTCTTCTAAAGAAAATGAAAAAACATTGTAAACATTTAAACATGAAGCACGTGAGAAGCTGAAAACACCTTGGAAATGGAAGGAAGTTCTAGGTGTTCTCCACTCACCTCTGCTGAGCACCAACTAGAGAGGGCCAACAGGACAAAGCCACACATAGGGCTGCATAGGAATTATTCTTAATTGGATCAAAATAGTGTTCTATTTTCTATGGACATATATTGTCTTCTTAGAAATTCACATTAATAGCGAAAGTTTAGCAGAGGTTTACCAAGCCTGTTCTTGAGCTCTCTGCAGTCTGGGAAAATGATCCATGGTATAAACATAGGCAATGACCCCATTTTAAGGATCCAAGTCAAATCCACTGGGACAGTTGCACTGTACTGGGTGCAAATTTAGGAGGTGGTTCAGAGTGCTGGAGTGTTTTGTTTTGTTTGTTTGTTTGTTTGTTTTTGTTTTGTTTTGTGCAGTGCTGATCTGAGTTTGTCCTGCTCCTCTGGTATACATGCATCTTTTAACAGACGCTTCACATGAGAGATTTTCTGCAATTGAGAAGAGCTGCTTTCACCGCTGCCCCCAGGAGAGGGTGCTCTCAAAACATGTACTGCAGACCCATTTCTGCACAGGAAGCACAATACAAACATCACATCGGAATGGGGCATTTCACCACTCTGTAACACAACACCACTTAGGTTCTAATGTACTTTCCTGTCACATCACTTAGTGTCTACTCCTATTTGTCATAAAACAGGAGTTTACAGCAGCAATGTTAAGTCAAAGTCAATGTGATAGCTACATAGAGATCATTGTAGTTCCCCTGGATCTATCCCTGCAGAGAATTTAGCACTGGTTTAACTGAGGAAGAATATGTACTTTAAGAATATCTCAAAAAAACTGCATGGTGTTGGTGGCAAGCAGAGTTGCTTCATCAATATTTGTTCTTCAGTTAAAGAGAAGCATACAGAAAATTGTCATTTATTAAGCTGCCAAGTTTTAGTTAGATTTCAGTGCCTTGTTCATGATCTTAGTAATGTAGGTATTATGGTGTCCTTGAGGAAAGTGTCTCATTTTCTTAGAGTTGAAGCACTATGTATATAAGAAAAACAATGACTTAAAAATATGATTAACTTAGAGAACAGTGCAATGAATTATGTAGTTAATTTCAGAGAATAATCATCCAGACAATTTACAAAGTGACAAACACAGAAATAATCATCTTGGCTACAAGCTGGAGTTGTCTCTTTTGAGGTTTGTCCAATCAGCAGATAATTTGAAAAAGCAGCTTTCTATATATTACTAATATATAAACCATAAAACATTTCACTTTGATAGTATCTATTTGTCTCATTTTGATTAGGTAAAGCCACTTGATTGCAATAAAGGCAAAACAAGAGGAAATGCTCACATGTTGTTAACATACAAATACAATAATATATTCATAAAGATATGATATTCCAAATAAGAAAAGTGTAACGAGGCATTTTGGGCTCATCAAAACCCTTCCATATTTATTGATCAGAAAAATAATATATATTTTGGGAGGGTGAGAGGGGAGAATATCAGTAAAAACAGCATGTTCCTTCAAAACAACCTGGTGTTGGATTTCACAGTAGAAAATTCCCTTTCACATGCTGACCAGTGTTGCTAACTTGTGCTGAGCATGAAATAGATACAGCTCCTTCTCCTTTCATGTCCCCACTGCTCCTCAGCATGGAAAGATGAGGAGTTGCTTGTTACTGAGAAACTCATCAACACCAGCTACAGGCAGTGCAAAGGTGATGGGAAAAAATGACCAGCTGTTGGCAATACAGATTTGCTAAAGCAGATGACTCTTCCCCTCTGTAGACTATGCTCCTCTCTCTCGTGGAACTTCTTAGTTGCACTGTGAGCAGTTGTGTTTGACTGGTAAGGTGCCTGCTGTTGTCATCCACCATAAGGGCAGTCTGTGAGACAATTCCCTGAATGGCTTCTGCTTAGTCCAACAAAGGAAAAGTACTGAGGCTTAGCCACCTCTATGGTCTACCCTCTGGCCATGCTGGGAAGCTGTTCAGCTTTTAATCTCTGATCAGGTTTGTAATCTCTTGTGTCGTGCTTAGATGGGAGTGGGATGTCACATCTCAGGCCACAGGTGATCTAGAAGTAGATGGGAGCAATGGGAGGAGAATAAAACTGAACTACAAAGAACTTTGAACGTCCACAAGGTCTGTTTTTCCCTTACCTTACCTTCAGACTATCACATGGATGTACATACTAGGTATGCAATGTGATCATTCTCAGTGCAATGGGCATGTCTGGATGGCAATGGACTGTAGTGAACTCCCTGACATTATTTTTATGTGGGTGATTTCCTTAACCAGCCATGCCATGCACTCTGCATTTAGAAGTCACTATCTTCTTAGGTTGCCACATTCATCCCCAGTGCTTGCTTTCTTATCCTATTTCAAAACTCTTTCCTCTTTCACTTAAATATATATATATATATATATATATATATAACCTAAATTGTCTTACAGTGGGTTAAGGACCAAGGTGTTTATGATGGCATGCACAATAAATAAATTCATAGTCATGAGGTCTTCTAGACTCCCCCATCCTTTGACACTTTCATCTGATCTTGATTTCCAAACTGGTTTTGTAACAGTTTGTGTTTTGTGGCTGCTTCATGTCCCAGCCAACCACTTCAAGCTTAGTGTTGTCCACTCATCAGGAGCATCAGAGAAAAGAAGAATAAAGCCTTCTGCACCAAGGCAAAATGAGCCATCCTGGTTACCAGTTTTCTTGCTCAAGTCAGATTTTGAGAGGGAACAACAAAGTGAGGCTCTGCTGAAGCTGCAGCTGGTAGCCTGACCAAGGCAGGCAAGCATGTTATGTCCCACACCCTTTTCTTACATCAGTTTCCAGATGATTTCATGCTACACCTCCCCACCCCTTTCACCACAGAGTGGCAGCAAGTTAGCTGATGCAATTTGATCTTATGTCTTCTGAGACAGTTGCAGAGGTTGCAAGATGAATGGGATCCAAACTTCAGAGGACTGCTTGCTACACAGCGGGCATTCAACACTATCATATGATATTAATGCCTACCTTCACCCCAGACTGACAGCTGGAAAGCAGTTAAAAGCTCAATGTTCCCGTCCCTCTTTTCTCTGTCTCCTAATCCCATAAACTGTTTCTGAATATTGTCTGCACCTCATGGGCAGAATTTCTGGTGGTTTTAGCCGTGTTAACTTCATAGCATCCCCAAATACTCCAAGCTGCTGAATGTTCTGGGGATGTAGCAACTCTGTGCTTTGAACATGGTGTAGTTATTGGACCCAAACTGCCCCAAGGCTTAGGCAAAGTAGTCACAAGTCCCTTGCAAGACATTTCTGAGTGAAGTGCTTCATGACAGGAAAGTCAAACCCCGTCTACTTCTCTCCCTTCCCCTCCAAAGGCCATTAAAAGGCTTTTTTAGAGTATGATGCAGTTCACAGGAGGGATAAGCCATCAGACTTACTTTACCTATGAAATGGATGAGAGGGGCCTCAGACAGCTCAGAACACTTTCAGAGGAACAAGTCATGTCCTCAGCTACTCTGAATATTGCCAGCAGCATCACTGGTGAAAGCTTATTGTGCAAATTTAAGATTTAAATTGGTCTTTTAGTTTAAGACTATTCCCCCATACCCTATCATTACCTGCCCAGGTAAAGAGTTGCTCTCCATCCTTTTTATAAGATCCCTTTAAGTATTGAAAGGCTGCAGTGAGTTCACCCTGGAGCCTTCTCTTCTCCAGGCTGAACATCCCCAGCTTTCTCAGCCTTTCTTCATAGGAGAGGTGCTCCAGCCACCCATCATCTTTGTAGTCCTCCTCTGGACCCACTCTAACAGCTCCACATCTTTCTTATGCTGAGGGTCCCAGACCAGGTGGGTCCCACGAGGGCAGAGTAGAGGGAGACAATCCCCTACCTCTCCTGCTGGTCACACCTCTCTTGATGCAGCTCAGGATGCAGTTGGCCTTCTGGGCTGCAAGCGCGCTCTGCTGGCTCACGTCAAGCTGTTTGTCCACCAGAACCCCCAAGTCCTTCTCTGCAGGGCTGCTCTCCATGAGTTCTTCTCCAAGTCTGTACACCTGTCTGGGATTGCCCCGGCTCAGGTGCAGCACCTTGCACTTGGACTTGTTGAACCTCATGTGGTTCACATGGGCCCACTTCTCCAGCCTGTCCAGGTCCCTTTGAATGGCATCTCTTCCTTTGGTATCACTCAGCTTGGTGTCATCTTTAAAGCATTTCCTGAAGTTAAGCTAATTAGTCCATAAAACTTGCCAGTTGCAGACCACTGCAATTTGTCTTTGGGATAGCTAAAGAGGAAAGACTTGATCCCTCACCAACAAAGCATTTGAAGTCATGCTTATTTTTAAGCAATTTTGGGTCTGAAGTAAATGTTTAAGTGGGCTTGAGATCCCAGCTGTCTGCCTGGGGCAAAAGCTTCCTATTTATTACAGAGCAGGATAGGACCATGCTGGAGGATAACGAATGCGTGAGCATTGCTAGGATGGTCTTTCCCTCACAGCTCTAATTAGCTGTCTCAGGTAATAACATTAATGGGGACACAGCACCAGGGGCTTTACTGCTGGCTGTATCATCCCACCACTGATCACAGTTAAGTATCTGAATAACTTAACAGTGAAGTCACATCTTCATGGTGCCTGTTCCTTCCACTAACTGCTGTCAACCACACTTACACTTGCAGTGTCAGTGACAAGGACTGTATATATATATATATATATATTTTTTTTTTTTTTTTTCTGAAAGATATTACTGTCTTTCTACTCTCAAGTTTTGTGAACTGAAGATCTATGCTTTCTTAGTGCTCTAAACAGAGCCATGGTTCTCTAAGACAGACCCTGCAGCCTAGGCTAGTTTTGCCGAGTGATTGTCTCAGGCTTTTTGCTTTTCCACCTGGGTGACTTCTTGGCCTGATTTAAAGCTTCCAGTGTTGCTGATGTTGCATGAATGGAAAGAAAGAAACAATAGAAATGAAATTGTTTAATCTGATACCCTCTCCCTTTCTGCCCTATTCATGCCTAGACCTTGCAGAATGAGACAAGAAAGGAGTGGGAGATGCAGAAGAAAAGGGAAGAACACAATTGCATCAGCCAAGATACCATGACCATTGCATCAGCCAAGATACCATGACCTCCATCAACTGGGACAAGTGTGGCCTCACATAGGCTGTTCATTTTCTGTCTTCATTTTTATCAGCTGTGCCTGAGGCCTGGTTAACCACTTAGAGTCTCAGCAAGGATAAACAGATGTGCCACTTTATGATCAAGCAAATTCAAAAAAAATTTTTTTGGGATGAGTAGAATTCATGCCAGGATTAAGACAGCAAACCCTACCATGGGACAGAAGCTAGGAGATGGATGTCATGCACTCCCCAATCAGGAGGCAATTTCCTACTTGCATGTCAAGTGGGACTTTGCAAGTCCCACTTTCATGTCCCCCAACTTACCTGAGCCTGTTTCTAGGAAGTACATAGTTAGGCTCTAGCAGAGGGTTTCATGGAGAGGACACTCATATGGTTTCAGGGGATGCCTTTTCTGCTGCCTTGGCTGTAGTCATACAAGCTCACAGCAAACACACACTAAAAAGAAAAAAATATAAAAATAAAACACATACACAGAAAATGAGGATTTTAGAACAGAAAGCAAACCCTGTGCAAATCTACGACAGTTGCTGAAGGTTTTGGAAAAGACTTTTAGCCACAAGGGTGGCTAGATGTAAGACTCACACTAGGACCTTCTTATGATTGCGAGCTATGAAATTCCCATGTTATGGAAAACCAAGGGATAGGAGAGCTCAAGCAAGGCTCCTGTGTGTCTATAGCATTTCCTTGCAGAAGGGTAAGTTTGCATACACTCTTATCTTGAGATATGCTTCTTGTACACATCTTCCTTTACAAGAAACATCTTTTATATTTGCCACCTTTCTCACCTCAGACTTTCTTTCACATTGCTGTAAATGACCTGTCTCTTCATAGATCCTCCTTCAGCTCCAGCCATCCTGATATATGCTTTAGAGGCAGCCACCCTTACCTACTCCACCAGTTTAGAGCTGTTTGTGTGACCTCTGCTAGTCCACTGCAGTAAAAATGATTTGAAAGGATATATTCATGTCATATCCTTTGGGGAAACTTGAACTGCCTCAAAGCCAGTGCTAGAAGTGATCCTCTTTTTCCTTACAGGGATCCCTAGTCTTTTGGAAATTTCCTTTTATCTTCCCAATTCTTCTCTCTGTCTTAGCAAGCTGGGAAGAAAAGAACATGTAACATTTATGCTGCACATCCCTGGCCCAAGCAGTGCCTGAAACTCAGCCTGAAACCATCACCTTCAAGCACCTCTGACTAAAACTGATGTGGGCCTCATGCTGTGGTATGGCCTCTGGGTACTGGTCATTTGCATCCTTCCTCTGACTCACGCCCTGAAAATATAGCCTCCTCCTCCTCAGAGTCCATCAGGCTGTGCTATATACTTTCAGTTGTGTCTGTGTGGCACAGTTTCCCTCGCCACAGAGAAATGCAGAACCAAAATTTTGCCAAAGAGATCTCTTCAGTGACTCATCTGTGCTAGGGAAGGGAGAGTTTCATGTCTGCAACTTGGAATAGGTGTATCCTCTGGTGCCTCAGTGGGCTGTTTCTGACTTGTGGAGGGGCTGCTGTACTAACACAGTGTGTGCATGTGTGTGTGGGGGGGAATGCTCTGTGTGTGATACTGGGGGAACCATCCTTTCAATATATGCCTTCCCATCTCCCTCCCCCACTTTCCTTTTCCTCTTTAGTGTTGTAGTATTTTAATCGGAGGAAACAGTTATACCAAGGAAGTCAATGGTGGGGGCAAGGCAGGGAGGGGGGAACAGGAGGAAAATCACATCACAGCCCAGTCTGCCAGTATAAACACTTGATGATTTCCTGTTATTGTAGCCTAAAATGTACCATGACATCATTTGCGGGCCTCCCAGAATCACCCAGAAGGAGGAAAAGCCAGCATTCCCAGCCCGCCCCCAGTGTGAATCCAGGGAATTCAGACCCTATAAGGCAGTGAAGCCCTGTGAGCAGCAAAGATCGAGTTTCGAAAGCTTTCTTGTTCTTGGCAATGTGGGGATTTCACAAACAGGAAAAACTGCTTTTACTTTTCCTACAGGGGAACTGTTTATGCCTCATGGCATATTGATGCCTGGAACTGGCTCTGCTTGAGAAGCAGAGCTGAAATATAATAAATGATTTCTGCTGAGGACAAGCAGAGGTAAATCCCCCTCCACAGACACTCTCACTACAGTCATGCCAGCTCATTGTTCTGGGCATCCACTTTTTATACTACCCACCTCTACTTCCACTCTACAGACAGGATAGTTAAGTCAAAAACTGTGGATTATATAAAACAGACCAATATGGAATAAATTTGATCACTTTGAAAGGTGAAGCTAACCCTGAATATAGCAGATATTGCCAGTGAAATATTCTTCCTCCTTTCCTGTGCATTACATCAAGAGACATTTGTCTGAAAAATGAAGAGACAAGCTATTTTGAGCCTGGATACATGAACTATCCTGGAATTTGACTCAAAGGGGCACATTTTTGTCTCAGTTACTGTTAATCCTGAATCACTGTTCTCAGTCTGCACCACTGTAAGGAAGAACAGATCAGGTTCACAGTGATGGGTTCTCACAGCTTTTCTGAGAGGCATAATAATTAGGCTGATTCCACACCACACCCTTCAGCCACAGTTTCTGTGGCCAGCCTTTCAGGAAGACCACAGTGAGATATCTGCAAAATTTGTATTTTCATAAGCAGGGTAATAAAATTCAGAATCACAGTACTATAATTGTAATCATTTAGACTCATACCCTCCCTTGCACATCTGCCAAATGCTTTGCAAACATCAATAATTATAGTGTAACTTTTATTCTTGAAACAGGAGAAATGACTATTTTCACTTTATATGTAAACAAATGGAAGCACTGAGATTAAATGAAACACTACCTTACAGAATAGAATGTTTTCTCTTATTGTGGTTTTATACTAATTCCATACTGCTAAATATGATCAGCAAATTATATTTGTTTTACCATGAGGTATATTTTAGAAATCTGGAGCCAGTCAGCCAAGAGAAGAATGATAAAAGCAAGTCTAGTAAATAAAGCATGCTTGGGACTGACATTAAAAAGAAACAGAATAATCTTGCAGTTTACTGGGTAAATATAAAAACAGTGTATAAATTCTGCTGTTATTACTTGGACTTACTGGAATACAAAGTGGGTTGTCCCACATGCTCTATTTTTGGATAGGAGAACCAAGCCATTCATTTCTTTACCATGCTGAGCTCCTTTCAAAGCTATATATACAAGATGACTATCACTCATTAAGTAGTTTACTATTCATTGCCAATACCGCAGGGTGCAGCTCTGGGAACTTAAGTGAACTTAAGATTATGCACAGCTATGACAGGACCCTGTGTCCACTGAAATCAAGAGCTAGGAACCCAGAAGCATGGCACCAGAAGAGCAAATTGTTCTGATACTACTGTGATAGCTGTGGGGCACTGAGGCCCTGAATTTACTTCTATTATTCTGTACCTCATCTGAGGGCTGAGGTTGTCATGTTGGCTTGGCAATGGAGGGGAGGAGAGGATGCTTCTTCTAAGCATTGAATTTACCAGATCTAGCATGCATTAGTTTTGGCTCGGGGATTTTTGCTGAGTCATATGAAAACATGCAGCCTGCCACATGGCAGAGGAACAAGAAGCAGGGATGCGTACCTGATGATAGACAGATGATTGCAGTATGACGGTAGCTGCTGGGTTTGGTGTGGTGTGAATGTTCATTTAAGATGTCATGTTGTGTTTTTCTAGGATATCGATCTCTTCTCATGTAGGAAAAGATTCAGGCTGGTTCTGTCTCATTTTATCCCCACAGCACAGGAATGACTTGCTTTACACAATGTTGCTCTTCACTTTGTACGTATTCACTGCAGGCTACTTACATTCTCTGCAGGACAGATTAGTGTCACAAGGTTTTTGACACAGCTAGCCTTTGATGACAAATACTTCCTGTTTCAGCTTTGTGGCACGATGCCATGTTTCCTGGGTATGACAAAGATAAAAATGGCAGAGTAATGTGCTGTAATATCATGGTGACTTTATGAAAATACTTGATCCTTTTTGACAAATAAAAAGTAACGCAGAGAGCAGATTAGTAACAATGACAAAGTAGAAGTCATATTAGTATGTACTATGAGGACCAGGGTGGGAGAACAGCAACGTATGTTTGATTCCCAATGATTTGTACAGGATAATGTCTGCTCATATCCACAGTGAATCATCCTGGAAAGTTTGACTACATTTATTGTGGAAAGCCAGGCAAAAACAAAATGGAAGAGAATCTGTAAGAGCAGTCATTCATCAGTGCAGGAAATCCAGTTTTAAGGCTATAATATCTGACTGGAAACACCTCAGCCTAGTGATACAAAGAGAGAGACAAGATGAGGGTCTTTCATCTGGTTCAAATTTATTTAAAACAACAACAACAAAACATTGCTGAATTTGTTTGTCCCAGGGAAATTGATCAAACATCATCTGTCCACCTGTAGATTTATGTCAGATAATCTCTGCTGAAGAGTGCTAGCGTAAAAGCATGAAGTCAGCAAAACTCAAAATGACCTGGCTAATCATGCAGACATATCTTTGCCTGCTCCAGACGAAAGGTTTACTGTCAGTGATCCAGAACTGTGTGGATCTGGTATTAGTGTTCACAGAAACCTAGCCTGTGTTCAAGGAAGTCCTCTGAAAAGAAATAAATGCCTTATATATTTTGTTAGTCTACTTCCTCTAAATACTGTAAAGTAGAAACTGCAAGAAAATGCAACAGAGAGAAACTGACACACTTTACATATATGGTTTGGCAAACCAGAATGTACTAGAGAATAGAATCATACATGTAGTATGATTTGGGTTGGAAGGGATCTTAAAGATCATCTAGTTCCAACCCACTGCCATAGGCAGGGACACCTCCCACCAGACCAGGTTGCTCAAAGCCCCATCCAACCTGTCCTTGAATGCCTCTAGGGATGGGGCATCCACAGCTTATCTGGGCGTTGTTCAACATTCAATGTACATTTTTACCTGAAGCCCTAAGACTCACAGTGAAAACCATTGCCCCAGTGTTGATGATGTAGTCACTGAGACATGAAAAAGACATATTAGTTCTTCACATTAGGGCAGATTTGGGATCAATACCTCAAATATACCTCCTTCCAGGGACAATCCCATAGCTATCAATGAAGAAAGGAAATATGACTCTTTAAAAGCTGCCTAAAAATCTATTTGAATGAATGTTGCACAAACCAGAAGGTTTAGGCTGTGTTGAAGAAGCTAGCCAAGATTTCTTGGTTGAACTTCTCCAGACAATGTTGTAAATGCTGGTTTGACATTATTAAAGGTCACAATAGGGAACTGCAAAACATTCTCAAGCTGTTTCATCATCTATCTGCTAACTTAGAAGAAGAAAAAATATTACCAAAGGAGCCTATTTTAAGATTTTATACCTCTGTATTGTATATTCACTAAAAGAGTTCATTAAGCTGGATTCTTGTGTCTCTAGCTTTCACATTTCTTAGCGGGAAGCAGGACACTTTCTCTGTATTTTGTTCTTAGCATCCAAAATGGTGAATGTCCTTGAATGGTATCACAGACAAGGGAAAAGAAAGTCACTTGTTACCTAAGAAGAGAGCCCTTGGACTCTGTTTGGTTAGTGTGGCTGTACAGATCAGTGTCTTTCTCTGAATAAGCATGTTAAGTAACTGTGACTCCCTGAAACCCAAAGGCACTCTGCATCTAGGTATGTGAACACAAGTGAGTAACAAAATTCAAGCAGAGAGATAACAGAAGATCAACGTGCCTGATTAAGGCCATTTTCATGGGGCTTGGAAGAAGATTCAGGTAATTTGAACATACATGTAGATTCAGTTATCACACATGATCTTTTAGGTGTCCCAAAGTCCTTGGGCAAGATTCACTTGACAAGTGGATAGGTATAAAATTAATGTCTATGTTCAAGAAATGAATCTCAAGGAGTAATCTGAAAGAAAGTGTTGGTGTTGAAGAAAGGGAAGGTGTTGGCTTTTCAGTCTTTGTAGTTTACGAGTGTATTTGTGTTTTGATCTGCTGCAGGCTTGCAGAGGCCTAGGGAAGAGAGTAAACAAGTATGGCAGGGTATGGTTGTAGGACTAATAAATTATGTTAGACCATGCAGGTCTGGGTCTTGGGGGCTGGAAGGGGTTATCTAACATTTTCAAGTTGACAAGCCAGGATATATGTTGTATCGTGTGGCATAGAAAACTCTGAACGCTGAGACATATACCATTTAAATTAATACAAAATTATGTGCATCTTCATGGAAAGCAGGGAAAAAAATGGGAAAGAAAGAGTTTTCTGTGGTCATGTGTGGTGGCCAAAGCAGCTTCTTAATTTTGTTCTGTTTGAAGTGGGTGTCAGAAGCCAAGAGCGTTTGTGTAAGTCAGTGTCTATGTTTATATCTAGGGGAGAAATGGGTCAGGTTTTCCAAGACCAAGGAATGTCTTGAGAGATCAGCTGTTCAGCACCCCAGAAAAGTAGGAAGGCACTGTTTCTTTTGGCATGTTTTGTATGTATCTAAGGAACAGCCTCTTCTGGCCAAAAATAAAAGGTCCCAAAAGTCAGGCTCAAAAGTCTCCAGATAGGATGAATTTCACACATGATGAGTATATCATCACTTTGAAACTTCCTTGTTGTGTTGCACAATATTGGCACCAGCCATCAGACATGTGGACTGAGCATCACCTGTGCAGAAATGTGCAGTTAAAGTAGCATACACCTTTGCCATCTTTGTTCTGAAATTTAAAGTGTTTGTCAGCTACTCAGTGTTTGTCAGCCAGCCACTTGTAATCAGTATCTGTTTTCTTCTTGTTGATTTTTATTTGTCCAGAGAAACTAGGCTTTATGTTCCCTGTTTATTTACCACAAGCAGCAGTGCTGGAACAAAGGGAGTGGATCGGCACCCTGCATCCAGGATCTTGGGCAGAAACCTGAGTGTTAAACCTTTTGTGATTACTATAAGTCCTTACTGTTTCTAACAGTGTTTTTAATGCTCTCCCACCATAAGATTCCACATGCTCAGAGGATTCCCCAGGGACCAGTGGTTTGACTAATAAGAAATAAATTAGTTCTGTATAAGGAAATGCAGCTGTTGCTCCCTATCAATCCCTCAGAATACCCACAATAACAAGTGAATTCTGGGAAGCTGAATAATGCCATCATCATTTTTTTTTTTTTTTCTTCCCACTCTTGGCCCTCAAAGTACATTGCAATTGCTAATTAGGACTGTTAGCATCCCAGTAATTAAGCATTAATTGGGAAACTGAAGCAAGCAGGAAGAATTGCAGTAATCCTAATTAATGAAGCACTCTTTCAAAGCAATCTGTTGTCCTCAGAGGGAAGGTGTCAGCTCAGGAGTAGGTTAATGAAACACAGTGTGATGCAGTGATGCGCTTCGCTGTTTTTGCATGTTGTAGTGGGGCAATGCAGGGTTTATATTTATGTTCCAAGAAAGCTCAAATTATCTAGGCAGGCTATGCTGGTACCCTCAGATCCTGTGTTGGTTGTTGTGGGAATGGCTCTAATGGTGTATTTGTGTTGCTGAAATCAAATCCCTACTGAAATGACATTGCCTGAAATCTTTACTATGTTGACATTGCAAATATGAATGCATGAGGACATGATGACCACTGATAAGAGCAGGCTTATTTCTGTGCTGTTCCAAGCTATTCTGTTCTACCCTGTGCTATCCTAGTCCTATACTTCTTCTGAAAGGCATTCAGCTACTACAAATGCATCAAGTAATAGGAAAAATAAAAAACATGAATGGACTCTCAGAAAACTGCCTACTACATATTACTACCTGTAAGGCAAGCTCAACTATCCTACTTCAATCTTCCTGACAGTGCTGACCACTTTGCAGGCAATGAAATAGCAAGGCCCTGCAGTGCACAGTGGAAGCCCTAGGAGCTCTTTGGCAAAGTGAGTTCAGTTTTTAACACAGTCCTCCCTTCCCTTTGGTGGCAGTGCCAGGATCTGCATGCCAAGTCTGGGACTGGGGCATGCCCCATTTTCAATATAGAACTGAAAAACTATCTGGAGCAAATCAGTTGTGTTCACACAATGTGCAGAGGCTTTACCTTCAGGGAAGTGCAGGGAATGCCCTCTCCTCTCACTACATCATTTTTCTTCACAAAACAATGCATGTGGAAATATGCTGACATTCAGACGGTGAAAGACAGAGAGAAACTGTGCCCATAGCCAAACCTGTAGCCCTCTAGCACCTCCTCATTGACCAGCCTGCCCTTAAGCGTGCAATGGACTTTCTCACTATACTTCTTTTTTCTTTCCTTGAACTGAAAATATTCAAACCAAATTCCTTTAAAACCTTCCTGAATCCTCAGATTTCTGAAAGATGAAGATCCTATGCAGAACTGCCTCTGTTGCCTGTAGGTCAACAGCTTTCAAAGGCACAGTATGAGTGGTCTATAAGGCTTCATAAACGGTGACAGTGCAGGAAAAAGGAATGAATGAAAGAAAAGAGGAGGCAGTCCTAGGAACGAAGAAAGGAACGATGATCCCCATGAGGCCGTCTGATAAATCACACTTTTCAGTCTTCCACCTCAAGTTCCCCTGAAAGGCTTTTGAAGCTCAGCCTCCTCAGTCTCCAGTAATTACATCTATGACCTCCTCACCATCTTTAACCTTCTCTCTTCCTCCCCACAGCCCCTCACTATATCATGTTGCCTTTCACAGGATGTAGGCAAAATAACTCCTTAAGGCTGGAATAATCTGTTTTGGCAACACTTCTATGAAGCCTTGGGTCAGTACTAGATTTCTCAACGATTTGGGTAGGTAGTTAATCCCACCATAGTGCACAGAACTGGATTTGATCAGTTTGTCTCAATTGTTTTAATCAAAGGGTAAAAGAATCTTATATCCTTTCTTGCTGTGTTGCCATTATTTATTTATTTTAAATTTATTATTTTTATTTTTTCATTCAAAGGCAAAGTACCAGTTTGGCTCAACTGTAAACATTCCCATATTGCTTGTAATTTGTCTGCTTTTGTGTGAAACAATGTGTGCCTGTCTGATGTTCTGCAGTCCACCAGTGGTCCACAAAACAAGGATCAGGTACTGCTGGACAATATTTTGAGGCCTCTCAAAATCCTACTTTCTCTCCACATGACTGCAAGTGCAAAAATAAAGCTACTTCCTACAGGTATGGAGGTGAAAGAAAATTATTTACTTCCATAATAAACAGATCTTCCATGCATCAGTGATCAAATCAGGTAACTTTGTAAGTCTTCACTGGGAACACAGGCAACCCCCTGTTTTTCTTTTCACCTCAGGAGCGCTGTGGGGCAGCCCATTGTGCTTCCACCTGTATTGTCAGCAGCTCCTATTGCAGAATAATCTAAGGCAAACACAACCATGTGGGTGAATGCCAGTAAGCAAAGAAAAAGCTAATGGGCTGTGGTTTCTGCTCTCCTTATTGTTGATTTTTCCTAGCCAAAAAGAGAAAAAAAAGGGGCTTTGTATATTTCAGCTATGCAATTTTAATCTTGTTGGTGTGAATCCCCTGAGGAAAAAAGCAGCATGGATGTGAACTGAAGGAAACCCTACCATTACAGCTGCATTAGGGTTTCATTGCTGCCAAAGGCAAACAAGGCCTATGGAAGTTGGTTAGCATTTCGGGTATCAGCTTTAGCAGAAGGTGGACATAGCATAGGATCAGAGAATCATTTAGGTTAGAAAAGACCTCTAAGATCATCTGGTCCAGCCTTTAACCTAGCACTGCCAAGTCCACCATTATAAATAAATGTCACAGTGGAGGAGTATCAACCCAACAAGCTACTGCTACATCATTCCTCAACTCCTAGTGAACACAGTAAAAAACTTCTGATTAATAACTGGAGAGCTGGAGACAAATTTCTCATTTTTTCTGCTGCTTTTATCTAAAATAAAAATCTTTACTTGAAATAGAAATCTACCCATTAGACTCCTATGACCAGCTTAGAATCTCAGCTTCACTTCTGAAAAAAATGTTTTTTCTTTATAATGTTGATATATGTCACATACAAGGGAGAAAAAAACAACTATTAAATGACAAAATTATTTAAAAAGCCAAACCTCATGATTTATGCAATACCTAATTGTTTACTAGAGACTGGCTTGTAGTTTTAAAGTACTGAATACCATCAGTAGTGTAGACTTCAGTGAGAATATCCAATATAGCATAAAGTTTAGAACTAAATCTTCCTTTAGAGTTTAATGGTAGTTTAAACACTTTCATAGACGTGGAGCCAAAATTTCTGTTATTTTAACTCTGGAACTGTACCAGTAAAGAATTTGGTATTCATTAGGTTATAGTGAAGAAATATTACCAGCTTTTAGGATTTAATCTTGAGTTTTTAATATCCTCAGCATTTTTTATGAACCTGAGCTCCTGGAACTGGTTACGTGTGGATATCATATCCTCCCTTCCCTTCCCTTCCCTTCCCTTCCCTTCCCTTCCCTTCCCTTCCCTTCCCTTCCCTTCCCTTCCCTTCCCTTCCCTTCCCTTCCCTTCCCTTCCCTTCCCTTCCTTCCCTTCCCTTCCCTTCCCTTCCCTTCCCTTCCCTTCCCTTCCCTTCCCTTCCCTTCCCTTCCTTCCCTTCCCTTCCCTTCCCTTCCCTTCCTTCCTTCCCTTCCCTTCCCTTCCCTTCCCTTCCCTTCCCTTCCCTTCCCTTCCCTTTTGCACCCTGCACCAATATGACAGTAACTGGTGCTGTAGGGAGCAGCTGCATGCTGTTTTCCCTGCCATCCCTCTGAAAGGATGCTGCACTTTGAGCCCAGGGAGAGTTGCTGACCTGTTAGTGGAGCCTTGTGCTGTGATTCAGGGAAGAGGTAGCCTGACCCAGTCCCTGCTTCTTGCTGAGATTATCACAGAAAGTCAGAAGACCCATGCACAAACACGAATTTGGTATGTTGTGACTCAGACCTCAAACAGATCATCTAGCTCCTTGGCAGCAGTGAGGACTTCTGATATTTCATGTGCTCTTGAGGAGCCATCCATTTTGCTTAATGATTAGCTGTGCACTAGCCTTTCACTGGGAGGAACTTTGGTAGCCTGATGGCTGTGTGGTTTCTAAAAGAGAATTATCCAGAGGATTTATGTGTTTTCAAAACACTGTACAAACACCAGCTATTCCTCCCTACCTCCAGCGCTGCTGAGGGTGAAGGTTTCTGGTGGGGGTGGGAAAAGACAACCTTGGGCTTGGGGATCATCTCAAAATATGTTTGGGCTTGGGAGACTAGTTTTGACTCTGGGGGCTTTTTTCCTTGTCATTTTAACTCAGGGGATTTTCTTTTCTTAAAATCAATCACTCAAGCAAACAAACAGAAACCTCCAAATCAGAAGTGGGTTGAGTGAGAGAAAAATTGCAAGACAAAGAAAAAATGTTATGGCTGGACTTTAAAAAGTTAAGTCTGTGTTCCCTATGAAGAGAGAAGAATTACCATGAAAGAGAGCAGTGAAATCAGGACTATTCTCCTTATGTCTGTTACTGAATGGCAGCTACTTCTGGGACAGAGGAGAATAGCTATGAACTGTTTGTGTACATATGTATGTATTTCTGCATCTACCTACCTATCCATCTGCTATTCACCTATCTATCTATTTATCCAACCTATCCATTCCTCTTTTTTATTACCTATTCACTCTTCTGGAACAAATATCCCAAATGCCTTAATTCTCTGCATTTTAGGATCAGAGATGCAATGGCAAGGGAGTATTTAGTAAAAGCCTAGGAAAAATAAATTATGCCATCTGTCATGTCCGTGTGTGTGCTATGTGGTGCGTCATTGTGTTCAACTGTGGGAAAGAGAAGAACTGACTGCAGAATGTGGGGGGGAGTTAGTGTTGCCCAGGGGCTGCTTGCCACAGCCATGCAACCCTGACTGTAGATCACACCTCGTAGTGTTAACAGGGTGGGAGGGAGTTCCCTTCACTTGTGAGTGAATCAGTTGGGTGGGAGAGGTAACATAAACATTCCCAGATTATACTTCAGACCTTGGCATCTCCTGCAAAATAGTGCTCTGGATTTTGTGGGTGGTTATTGGTTTTTTTTTGGTTTGGTTTGGTTTGGGTTTTGAGTCTACTCCATGTCCTAGCGTAGAAACAGCTTACCTACACTTACCTAAACAACACTGTTATGTGCCAGGGTTTGGTGCTCATCTGGAAAAAAAAAAGCAATTCAAGCAGGAGACATGACTACTGTCTTCAGTATATAATGTTCCTGCACTAGAATAAAAATGGCTGGCAACTCCCTGTATATTTTTAACACTTCCAAAAATAGATCTAAATCTCAGGCAAAATGAATGGAGCCAAGACTTGGATGGAAAGAACTAGTAAAGGGTGGTTTGCCTGAAACAGTTAGTGCTGAGATCATCATCCACATTATACGCCACTACCTGGAAACATGGGCCAGTTTTCTTTCTCCTTATTATGGCTAAGACCTATGTTCCAGTGCATCGATTCACTTGACAAAGTTCCAGTACAGTGGGGAGAATTGACTTAATGTTAGTGGAGAGACTGAGAGTTCCCTCCTGCTCTGCTCCTGTGCTGTGTGAGCTGGAATGCCTGGAGCACTGAGTTAATGTGGAGCCCTGGAGAAGCAGAGGGAAGTTGGATTACAAGCAGCTACTCTGTGAGTGAGGGAGAGAAGGCTTTCAAATCACAACAGCAGGCAAGAGAAAAAGATTAAATGAGAGGGAGCTAGGGCTAACTGAAGGGTAAGACCTCTGGGAAAGTGCACACTGGTGTTCCAGGAGGAATTTGACTTCAGTTAGTGAAGCCTGAGTCCATAGGTGAACCTGTGCCATTCTGTAGAGGAAAGGAGAATTTAGGTGCCACCTTCATTCGGTTTGGTGGTAAGTGAGCCATGGGCTAGCCTAGTGCCCAGCTATGTCTCAGCTGGCCTGAGACTGAAGGTGCTATTTATTCTGTCTCCATTTGAGACTGGCTACCTTGGAGGTTACTGTCCCCACAGAGGTGCCAGTAAATCTACATGTGTCCTTGCTCCCTAGCTTAGTTCTTCCAGCTCTGATCCAAGTTAAAATCTGTCCTGCTAAAAATGCTTGAACAGGTTCAATAGACCCATAAGCAAGCAGGGATCATTTTGACAGGTCAGTGTGTCAACATTAACAAGTAGTGTGGTATATATAATAGGAGCAAATCTGGAAAACAAAACAGCTGCTGCTGAATATTGAACATTCACATGAAATGTGTTTTAGAGGGAGCTTATTTTGCACTTGCTCTATGCTGGTCCTGTTAACCAAATGCTGTCCAATAGCTGGAATACTCTAGGTGTACTCCTGAAGAGCATCTTCTGCCTTATTTTCATCCAAATGGAATTCAGTTCACCAGGTTTGAGACTACACCATGATGGGAAACAAAGTGCAGTGAATAGGAAATTCACTTCAAAAACGAACTCCTGATCTGAACTAAAAAAGGCTGGTGTAGATGCAGTTTACCAACACAGTCTTGTTGCCTGAGGAACTGTTAATTTCCAGGAGAGTTATATGTAGTGATGATAGGAGGGGAGAAAACTTCTTAATCCAGCTCATTACAGCCTGAATACCACATTGGCCTGCAGCTGAATGCATAACAGCCCAAACCACCAACAACTTCAGAAGCAGGGCTGCCTGGGGGTTAGCACGTAGCTTATTTGCTGGCTACTGCTTCAGGGCAGATAACTTCTACTTATGATAGATGATTCTGTAGAAATAATTATTTTCAAAAATATTCAGGAACTATTTATTTTAAATTCAGAATGTAGCCATTATGTACAAACATCTGTTAAAAAAATAATTAACACAAAGTACAGCATCTGCACTCTTGACCAAAACCTGAAGACAATTTTGTCTGCCCCTCTAAGATAAACAATATTATTATAAAGGTTTTATAGACAGGTTAATCAAAAAGAACAAGAAATCATCCAGTAGTGACTGGCATAGCTCATAGGACTGAGGAGATTTATCTTCTAGTCTCTGTCTCTAATCCATAGGACAATACTTCAACAACCCCATTTTTATTATACTGGAAGTTGTGAATTTTAAGTACCTCAGATACTTTTACTTTACTTGGGGAGAGGCAAATTTGTCATTTTTGTATGAAAAAAGAAACCTTGGTGTTTGAACAGTATAGGCAGGTCCTGTGTTGGTGGTAGTGTCAGGTTTTCTTAAGAAATGACGTTTGTTATTGCCATCCCTGCAGAGCTCTCATTTTCCTGTTCATTTTTTTTTCTATCCCCATAAAACAGGATCTTAAATTAATTGTCCACCCATCCTTTCCTCCTTTACTTTCTACAGCAACATAGAGTGACTTACTGGCCAGAGATTCTCTTTCATACGATTTTTGAAGACACTTTAATGGATGTTGGTACAATGCTCAGGGAAATCTTTAATAAGGTTTAGGAGAATACCAGAATCCAGAATTTTATTTGATTGGGAAAAAAGAAAAAAAAAAAAAAAGAGGGTTAGGAGTGAATTGTTTTAATTGCTTCTTCTTTCATAACATGTTCTTTGGAATAGACATCAACCTCAAGACAGAATCCATTTTACTGCCATTTCAGCGTAGCTGTTTTGCTATGTAACTGATTGGTAACAGTCTCCATACTTCAAGTCAATTGCAAGTAAGTTTTAATAATCACTCTAATGTGAAGACAGTGAAAGTGAGAATATGAACCATGCTGAGTCAGTAGATTTTTCTTTCCCTGCACCAGCATTGAATGTGCGCTTGTGTTCAGTTAGATCCTTTTTAACTCCTCCAGGAAGCTTTTCTGAGAAAGTCACTTGGTGATTTGCTCATCTCTATGTATTGTGTTCCTGGCTGGTGTTAAAGTTAGATCCAGTTTAAACTCAATTCTGTAAACAAAAATATGTGCATCTGTGAAGAAGGGACAGGCAAGAAAAATAATTTATAAAAGGTGAACAGAAATGTGAGAAGTTTGTCTTTCCAGTGGTTTCACTAAATCTAAGTTTACAGCCCTTGTAACCAACATAAATGACAGCTCATTGTTTCACCCATCACTAAAGGGGAAATGAATACAGGATTTCCTCAAGCCCTTGCAAAAGTTAAGAAACTGATAGCCACGTGGTGAAGAGCTGGTCCTGATGTGGTGGCAAGCTGTACAGTTCTGTAAGATTGAGCTCCTGCTGTGATGTCTGAGGGCTGCAAACATGGCAGTGCAAGAATACTGTTTGAATGATCACCCAGAAGATAAAGCCTGGGAAATGAAGAGCTTGAGAGGGCAGGATGTGTGTGGGGAAATTAAATACTTCAGTAAATACGGCCTCTTTGATATAGCTCAACTGATGATGACAAAAGTGAAGTTTAACACTTGTCTTTTTTTTTTTTAAAGAAATTTCATTATATAAAATGGTTGGGTAAAGGATAAAGAAGTATCTGTGACATGCTCTCCGGCTGACAAGAGATGAATCAGTTAGGACTACAAAGATCATTGACATCTTGTCACAGGATCTGTTGAGCATCTAATGAAAGATCAACAAAGACAATCAGTCACTGTCTATACTTCGTAAGCATCCCCCTGAACCAAGGCTGGCAAGGTACTGGCACTTGTGCAAAAAACTCTAATATTTCTAATAAGTTTAGCAACAGTTGGAAAAATAATTTGCTGTCACTTCATTATTCTCAGTTGGTCAAATTCTTCCCTCATATAATTCTGTTGATTGCACTGGAGATACAGGATAAAGGACAAACATATTTCACAAGGCCTCTTTCCTTCCTGATCATAGAGCTCTTTGTCACCCCATGAACTAAACAGAAAAAGCCCTGCCCGTCTCCAGAGTTTTGTATAGACTAAAAATCTTTGTGTATGAACAGTAGCAATGACCACGCCCTACCCAATGTGTCACAGCATCACTGGCCTGCCTTCACTATCTCCTGTCATGATCAGGCTCTCTCCGCAGCTAAAGACTGCAACACTGGTATCTGTTTGCGGGTGTTGGTGATCCACTTGCTCTTGGGTGTGGTTTTGTTTTAAACTGCCAAAACCTACTGACCTGAAAACCCCTTTCGGAACTGGCTTCTCCCTGGTTCCTTTCCAGTAAGATTGTTTGGTCTCTAGGGCCCATTTTTCACCCTCTTGAACTGTCTCTGTAGACATTTACTCCCAATTACTAGGTTTCAAAGCCTTCAGAAATCCTCAGTGTAAGTAAATGCATTCTTGATAGTCTGCTATCCAGCGGCCACCTCTATCAGAGCAAACCAGAGCCTAGTACTCAGCCTCAGTGATTGGGCTGGGCACTCACTTTCTCTGGGAGATATGGAAGGACACACCTGGTGGCCCTCACTAGAATCTCAGAATTGCTGATCTCTGACAGCAGTTGTGGTAGCTCACTGTGTGTGTTGGTGATCCACGTGCCCTACATGGTCATTACACCAGAACTATCATCTTGGCCACACATCAAGCATCTAAGAGGAATCAGAGCAGGAGAGAGGGAGGGGAAGAGGAGAAAAGAGCCTTCTACTTCAGGGCACAGCAATGAAGATCTTTGCTGAAGACTCCAAGTCACCTCCCTTTCTGCAACAAAGCCTGTCAGTGTTGCATATAAGCTCTTGCTGGTCTGAGTTGTGTTGAATAAAAGATTCTCCAGATTTTACGCATAGGAAGCTTTGGAATGTCCTGTTAAGATAGTATAACTTGATTCCCCCATCATCCACAGAAATCATTTCTCTCGATTAATTTGGGATGGAAGAGATCAGCAGTCCTTACTCCCAACTTCTTGGTCTGAGAAGAAGGTGGCAGTGTCAGACTCCAAAGCTCACATTGTTCCAATTCTACAAAGGCTTCAGAGAATTTTTTACGTTAGTACCTTTCACCCAAACAGGCAAAGTATATTCCCATTCTCTGTTTTGTCCTTGCTAGCTATATTATCTAGTATTTGAGATATAAATATTTGGAGTCGTGTCCCAGAATATCCATTAGATTTCTTTGTTCCTCCCATTGCTGCAAGCATTATAAGGTGCAGAAAGCAAGCAACATACAACCATTTACTCCCATATGGTACATAAAAAGAGCATCTGAAGAAGAGGCAATTCTAGCAGATGTGTGGTTCTTTCTTCTTTCTTTTTTTTTTTTTTTTTTTTTTTTTTTTTTTTTCATACAGCCATTGCGTACTTTGCACACACTTTGTCTGGTTTGAAAGTCTCCTCTTTTACCTCCTCTTGCTCAAACACAGCATGTCCCCAGACATACAGGGTGAGGTGAGTGATGTGGGCCATACAGTGAATGTCCCTAGTCCTGCCTTCTTCCCTGTTCCTTATAGGGGCCTCCTTGGCAGTGGGATTCTTATATGCAGGAGGGAACTAGGAACTAGGTCTTTACAGAGCATCTGGCAGTCAAATCCATATATTTCTGCCTTGTGGAATGGACAAGCAAGGAGCTGGAAGCACACCCTGTTGTGAGATCCATTCTTTGAGGCAGAAAGTGGATCAGATAAATGGGGCCACATGTCTGATGGCCCCATCAGCTTCTGCAGTGTTCCAGAAGCTGAGTGGGCAAGGAATTATCCTCACCCTTTTCAAATCCTGCATCCCTAGGTATGGTGTGTTCTCTCCTTCCCCTCTCATCCTCCCAGTTTGAGAATCACTGCAAAAGATTACCCTGATGCTCAAGGCATCAGTGCTAAGGAGGCAAAGGGTATTTAGAATGAATAGAGGATAATCTAGGACTACTGTGAGTTGAAGGAGTAGTTTTCACACTACAGTAACAATTTCATTTTGTGCCCTCCTTTGGCTATGCAAATCAAAGCTAACTTTCTTTCAGCCTTCTGAATTACACCTTTGAGTATGGAATACCTTTAATTTTTCTTTGGTTGTTGTTGTTTGTTTTGTTACATTGCCATATCGTGGATGGAATGAGTCCTCTGTCTTCTGTCAAAGCTACGTGAAGGGCAGTTCAAGTCACCCAGCATTAGTCCAGGAAAACTGGATACTGAAGAAATGGCTCCTGTTGAAGAGTTCATACTAAATAATTCTTTTATTTCAGACCAAATCATTGATATACTTTTTCTGCCTAAAAGAAGGTACTACAAAAGTCATGATCTAAACAAAACCAAGGCAATAAATCCCTAGTGAAATATCAGGCCTTCTCCCAGGAGAATGCTTAACGTCATTTTGGTCTAATCTAATTCTTAAATACTAGAATATCATTTAGGCTCTGAGCAGGCTGGAAGTAATGGCACTTTTGAGGCCTTGGGCAATGTTACTTCAGACTCTTCCAAGGAGGAGCTTTAGTCAGCTGACATTTGAAATCTCATCCTTCAGCTGGGGAGGAGAGATAACCCCTGCCTGTGGCTCTCCAGGAATCCACTGCTGTGCTTGTTCTCACACACAGACAGGCAGAGATGGCTCTGCAAATGGACTGCTTGATACTGCAGTCCCTCCCCAGCAGCTAGCACAGAAGAGATCTGTGGGTGAAATCAGATCCTGGTGCAGCACTTCCACAGCAGGAATTCCTGGTGACAGTGTAGCTGGAGAATCCTTCAGTGCAGACCTTTCAGATGTCTTATTCTTCCACTTAACAGGGAAGGGGAAGAGGAAAGGAAGAAGCAGGAGAGGAAGTAAAGCTTGGAGATTCATGTGCCTGTCACAGGGAACCCTTGTCTTTCAAAGTGGCATGTATAGTTTTTTGTTTAGCTATTGCTATGAGCAGTAGAAAACAACAAGAGAAGTGTCTATCATGCTGGAGACTTCCCTTTGCTTTGTCTCGCCCCTTCAGGCTGCTTGTAGACAGAAGACATACGGTTTGTGACTTTCTGTGCACACAGCCAATGCCTGACACACCATGAGTGTGACTGCTTTGTATCTGATTGTTTCACTGTCAAGGGACTTCCTTTGAATCATGGCTCCTGTCCTAAGTACTATGAAGAAAAGGTCAGTTCCCTGGATGCTAAACTGTAGCTCCTTAAATATGGCAAGGAAATATACTTTTATCATATGCAGTTCTATCACCTGTGTGAAAAAGAATGATTAAATCCTCCAAACAGTAACTTCAGTCTCATGAAGGAACCTGGAAATACAAGTCCCAATAGAAGCAGAATCAGACTCTCCCCATCACTGATATATTTGTTAGAATAGTAATGAAGAGGTCTTCACAGAACCACTTGAATTCAGTGGGAAATCTCACATTTAGTGTTCCTGGATCCAGACCTGACACTGTGGGTGCCCTCTATCATTTGCCAAAATCACAAGCAAGTCTTTTTGGTACTATGGATGTCTTTTGTCAGTAATATTTGTCTGTGGGAAACAAGTGGGACCCTTTAATTCCTCAGTCTTGTTCAGCCTAGTCTAAGAAACAGGTTGGTGTAAAAATTAGAAAAGGAAAAAACAAACAAATACCAGTGTAAAAGCAATTATTTTTCAATTAAATATATTTATTTTATAAAATATTTATATTATAATATATTATTTATAAAACATATTTATTTTATTTAATAATATATATTTAAATAATATGTATATATTTTTAATCTTCCCCCTGTATATAGACAGTATAGAGATTCTAGTTTAGGTGAAACCTGCATATTCTGATGAAGTAAACTAAGCTTATGAACCTCATTCCTATCTCCTTTCAGGTGAGTACAGGTATAATGGCATTGCTCTTAATAGTATCACTCCCATTTTACTCTGGGGTAAAGCAAGGCTCTGTTCCTTCCTTCCTTCCTTCTTTCCTTCCTTCCTTCCTCCCTCCCTCCCTTCCTATAGGGTGAGACTATTGTGTCTTTTTTCCCCACATAATGCTGTATGGTGAGGAAACATGACATTGAAAAGCAAATCAACACAACTTACAAGTCTTTAGTTTAAAAATTATGTGTTATATTACATATACTTCTACAACAATATTATTCCTTAGGAAAAAAGAGAAAACTCCTTTTTTTTTTTTTTTTTTTTTTTTTTCCCAGATGGTTAGGATTTCACTATGGGTATTTACAAGGCATTTTGAGACCTTTTGAATGAAGTGCAATTTTAAAGATGTACAAAGTGTTACTATGAATCTGAAATCAGTTCCCAATGTGCCTCAGTTTAATACTAATCCCAGTAGAATCCTGTAATCAAATTCCAGAAAACAGTTTACTCAGCAGGAGTCTGTGCTGAAATGGCTCGTAGAGCTTGGTTTGCATCTTTTCCATTTTATATCTGAATTCATGTGTTCTCATGTTAACACAATATTTATTCATATGCAGGGAAAAAGTGAGTATGAAGTACAGCTAGTTTTGAATGGTCTTCCCATCACAAAAGATCTGAAAGACTTATAGATCTGAAAACATTTAGTGGATTTGACATGAAGATAAAACTCAAGCTAGATAGGAAGATAGGTTTCTACTTTCCTTAAAAAATAAGATATGAAGCTTACTGTGAAAATTAATTTATTTCTACTGGACACAAGCTGTCCTCCAAGCTGTTAACTGTAAAAACAAAGGTTTTTTTTTTTTGTTGTTTTGTTTTGTTTTGTTTTTCTTCTGGTAGTAGAACTTTTGTCACTGTTTGACAGTTATTTTCAAAGTCCCGAATAAGATGAAACGGGTTCTTTAAAACCCCGTGAAAATGTCGGACCTTGATTCCCTCTGTCAGTGGTTCCAAAACACTGATGACAAGGGAAACCTTGGCAAGTGGTCCTCAGCCTATTTCAGTCCATGAATTTGACTGCTCTTCTATTCTGTGTAATTTTGGTGGTGGCCTCTGAGGAGGCTTGAGGACAAGAAGTGGTGAGCCTGCCGAGCTTCTGGAAGCCGCAGCCCCTTGTGTCTTCTTTGTTTTCCAAATACCTGAAGCTGGATGTGTGCTTTTTAGTTAGAGACAGCTATGAAAAGCCCATAAAGCACAGCATTCTCAGCAAACGCCCCGGTCAGCCGGGAAGGGTACTGACTTACCTCCACGGCTGAGCTGTACCCAGCGTGCATGACTCAGACGAAATGCAAGACAAAAGGATCTGTCATGCACCAGCGCCGTGGTCTTATTTTGAAGAGTGCAATCGCCCATAAAATCCGGTTATGTTAAAAATAACGCATTTAGCAAGGACCAGAAGTCTCAGCGACAGCCGGCATGTAAATAAGCTTCTGAGTCCGGGGCTTTCTCGGGTACCCAATGCCAGGGATGCGGGACACCCCCGCCTCCGCGGCTTTCGCCCTGGCGGGCCGCTGCCACCAGCCCCGCTCCCCTTCCGAGACTGCCCCGCAGAGGACCGACAGACGGGGAAGGGGGGCACGCCTGCGCTTCCCCCTCCCCCGGCGGCGCCTCCCGGCCCGGCTCCCGCCGCCGCACGGCCGGAGCGAGCCGCGCCGCGCCCAGCTCCCGGGGCCGGGCCGCGCAGGGCGGGGGCGCCGCTGCTCCGGCCCCGAAGGAAGGCGGCCGGGGGCGGGCAGGGCGGCCGCCGGCGGGGCGGGGTCTGTGCCGGGGCAGGCGGGCGAGAGGCGCGGCGCGGAGTCCCGTTAGAAGCGGCGCGGAGAGCCCCAGCAGCGCAGGAGGACCGAGTTGTCGTGCCCAGTCCGCCGGGAAGATGCCGAAAACGGTGAGCGCCCCGCGGCCGCCCGGCAGTCGCGGCTCCCCCGCCCCGAGCTCCCCCAGGGGCCTGGCGGCGGCAGGGGATGGCGGAGCGCGGCTGCCCGCCCGACGGAGAGCCGGAATGCCGGAATGCCTTCCTTCCCTTCCCTTCCCTTCCCTTCCTTCCTTCCTTCCTTCCCTTCCTTCCCTTCCCTTCCCTTCCCTTCCCGCCCGCGCCCTGCCCAGGCGGGGCCGCCCCAGCGCAGCGGCGGCGGGGGCCGGGGGGCTCTGGCGGAGCCGGCGGCAGCCGCGGGACGGCCGCGACCCCCGGAGGGAGGGAGAAAGAGAGGACGAGGGAAGGGAGGGAGGGAGGGAAGGAGGGACGCGGCAGGGATGCGGGGGGGGGAGCGGAGCGGAGCCGCCCGCCCCTCCATCTTGTGCTCCCCTCCCCTCCGGCCGCTTCCCGGCCCGTCGCGGCATCCCCGCGCCCCCCGCAGCCCGGGCGGGCCGGGGGCAGGGCGGCCGGGGCCGGAGGACCCCACGGCGGCGACCGCACCGCGGCTGCCTGAGTAACGGCGCGTCGGGCAGCTCCCTCTGGCCGCTGCTCTCCTCCCTAACATGTCTGAATAAAGAGGTGCCTTCCTCCTCCCCCCTGCCTCGCCCGTGTCTTCCGCAGTCTGCACGCGGGCGTGCTGCTGGAGTACGTGTGCTCCGAGCTCGGCGGGTCGGACGCAGCTTTTGAGAGCGTGGTGGGGAGCTAATGAAATCTATGGCTACCTCTCGTGTGCTTTGTAGAGAGACGTTTGGGGTTTTCACAACTCCTAATTAGTCAGTTTGAGTTGTTAGGGAGCCTTGTCCCAGCTTGACTTGAAGTATTTCTTGGCTAGAGAGAGATTGGTGCTTTAGAAGGTCTGTTCAAGTCTGTACTTGACTCTCCCTCTCACAGCAGTAGTTCAGTGACTAATAAGGAGCTTTTTTTTTTTTCTTTTTCTTTTCCAACTTAATTTCTCCTGGTTGGAGTAAAAGAATGGGTCCTCGCCCTTCATTGATAACACAGGAAGGAGCAGGCTGGAAGGCTCTGGATATTTCCTCGCTAGGAATGATCTGAAATGGCCTAAGCACTTCTATTAAACTTATTTGGGGGGGGGGAATAGGGGAAGAACCAAACAAAAAAAACCACGCCCTTATACAAGTGGAAGTTGAAATGGAATCCACCCTCAATTTTTTTTAAGTAGTTTAATTTTATCCCTTTAGATACTAGGTGCCTGTTTGAATGACTTTTGAATGCTGTCTTTTTTTTTTTTTGAATGTGTTTGAATTCTTTTCCTGCTGTCTTAAAAGCAGTCTCTCTGAGACAATGTATCTGACAAAAAAATCTGGAATTATTGTAAGTTTTTTTAAAACTGCTTTTTCAAACAGCAACCGTTAGTGAAGAGTTACTTCTGAAAAAAAAGGCGACAAGTTCAGTAAGATCAACAGAAGTGGCCCAGGTTAGGGAACTCTTGTGTAAAATGTGGTTGAGATGTTTTAGCCAGAGGAGAGTTTACAATTGTGGAGTGACTTCTTTTAGTATGAATCAGCCAAAAAGTTTTGAATGTGTTGCAGAGAGGCTCATGAAGCAGGATTCCCTGCTAACAGGCCTGAATCAAAGTGCTCTGCCACTGCATGACAAGGTACTCTTAGCCTTTGAATCCGGAGACACGCCCTAGGCCAGATTCATTTTCACAATCTGCTGCTTTCTGGCTGTGATGGAGCAGTTCTGCTTTCAAGAGCTTTTAAAAACTGGAACAAATAAAGACATTCAGGTACTTTGCTGTATGCTGCAGATTCTGCAGAAGCAGTTCATGTGTTTGTGCCTGTTGAGGTAGAGAGTGGCTGTTATATCAGCCACTTTGGTTTCCTGCCCCATCTGCCCTAATTGCAGACCCAACTGAAATAATATTTTAAACATCGTTTTTTGAGCTGTGGTTTGCAGGAACAGGAAATGCTGGCATAACTGTGTAATCAGTTCTTCATGTGAAAGAAACATGGCTACTAGTGTGCTAGCTTTAGATTTTTTTTAATAGCTACTTAATTAACAAAACAGTAAAATGCAAGTGACTCTCCTTAATCGAGGTCAAATGTGGGTGAAACCTGAGCAGTTAGATGTAGCTATATGTAGGCTTCATCACAAAAATAAATCCATTGTGAAGAAGACAGATGGAGGAAATGTTCCAGGGAACAGTTCTGGCAGGGCAGGAAAAACACTTGTGTCTAAAGTGTTTGGTAGCTTTTATCATTCATCTCACCAAGCTTACAGAACATGCTGCTGCAGCTGCTGTGTGGCTTGAGCAGCAAAACCTGTTGAGTTCTGAGTCCCTACTCTTTGTTAAGTTAGGCTAAATGTTAACACATGTAGCTAGAGATTGCCTCTTCGTTACATGAGATTTGTTCAGTGGCACTATGCTTTAGTGCACTATTAATAGGAATCCAAGATTAACTTTGGTAACCTTTGAACTAGTGGCACATGGTTTTGCTGTTGTGAAGTGTAATGTCTGCACAGTCAGAGTGGGTTTGGTTGTTGGAGGCCTTGTAGACTATAGGAAGTCCATCCCAGATTAGCCTGTTTATCCTGCCATGCTCTCCACAGGAAGGCTTCGTTGTTTTATCTTGAGTGCTCTTACAGTAAGGCAACCAACTCCTGTTTGTAACTTTTTTATTCTGAAAAACTTGCAGGATGTAAACAGTTAAAGTGCACATGAAAGAGGACATATAATCCCCACACACAATTTGTACTGCAAAGGGGTAGAAGCGGTTGGGTGGTAAGATACCTCTTTCAAGCTATTGTCAACTCTGAAACTCCCCTGCTTGTGGGAAGTATGGTCATGAGTAGGCTCTGATCTCATGCTCACTGACTGGTCCTGAGTCATTTTGGGATGGGTAGAGCTGAATGTCACATTCTGTTCCAAATCCTGATAGAAATGAATGAGATGTCATATTGACAGCTGGGCCAAGCCACATTATTAATCACATTAATATTACAAAAAAACATTTTAGCTGGAGAGGAGTAGTAGAGGGGAAGGCCACCATTTTACCATTTTGTACCAGTTGTGTTTGACAACTGGGTGATATTTCAGTGTTTTTTTTTTTTTTTTTTGTTTTTTTTTTTTTTAGCTATTGGAAAAAGCAGCATTTCTATATCAGGATTTGTTAAATATTTTGTCTGTGAACATACTGGCTTAGTGGCTATATGAATGGATATGTCACTGAGAACTTGAAATGTGAGCATCTGCCTTGTATAAAGTGTGTATTCAACTCTTAAAACTGTCCTATCACTAGTAATTGAACAATTCAGTATTAGGTAATGTAGTCCTTGCTCACTGTAGGGAAATGGGTTTAATCAGAGCTTGAATATTACAAACAGCTTCAAACTGAGGTATAGTGAAGTTTGGCCTCCTTACCTTATTAGCAGAACTAAGTGTTTCTCTAGATGCTGAGAACATAAGTCTCCAGGTTTCTAGGGCAGAGTATTACTGCAGAAAAAAGTCATCTTGGACAAGCACAAAAGAACAGTGAGATTTGTGGATTTCAGCTCTATTATGCTAGCTCAGACTTTTAAAAATTCTTCATTACTGCTGCTTTTTTCCTCTGTTTTCTAAAATTCATTGCAGTGGTGGCCGTTAAGGCCTTCAGGACACTAGTGAAAATTGATGGTCCTAATTCCCCATTGGACTCCGAAGGTCCCTGAAGCATATTTCCCTCTATTCTTTGGAATGGTATGGGTCTGGTTAGAAGGATGGTAACAGACTATGGATCAAGTATGAGGAGAACCCTCTGGGTAGTTAGTTTCCTGAGGTGTGGTATCTTGCTACTAAACATAGCAAGATGACAATTGTAAACAGAGCACTATGTTTGGGTAATGCCTTTTTTTTTTTTTTTTTTTTTTTTTCCCTTGTGGAATTTGCTAGAGCTCTTGAAAGCTGGAAGGACAGCAGTGGACAGTGATGCAAACCATGACTTGTAATGGATGGACGCTGTACTTCTGGTGCCCAGGATTTGAATCTTGTTGTGCTATGAAATATGACTACACTAGTATAGGAACTATGTTCCTACGCTAGGAACAGTTCAGATATCTTCTCTCTTACCCAAGGGTTGGTCTTCAGATGTTGTATTTCCTTCTCTCTGTCCCTCAGTATAACCTGAGAAACTTGCCACCACTGATCAAAATTAGGTAGGGTTTAGTCTGGCACTAGTGCTAGCTTGTTGGGTGAACTTAATCCCTTGTATCTTTCTTCTAACACTATTGCATGCATTGAATTGCAGTAAAAAAGTGTGATTGAGAGCTCCAAAAGACCTTGCTTTACACAAAAGCCGGTGTTGCCCCTGTTGGTGAATTTCTGATAAGTTTGTACCATGGGAGCAACAGTAATTTACAAAGCATGCTGAGAGTGCTCTGAAACCAGGTAAACTACCAATTTGGAGTACAATGAATTTCCTGTAGTAAAATACCTGTTGTGGGGTGTAAGAAACCAGGAAAGAAAATTACACCCCAGCTTGTATTGTATTAATCATTTTGGTTCCTAGATTATGCAAGAATAGCAAGCTTTTTTACTTCTTGTGCAGATGAAGCAGTTAACATTAACAATGAGCAAAAGCTTCTGTTTAGTACTTCCGAGCCTTCTGTGCTGAAGTTAAACAGGGGTTTTATAGAATAAACTTTATATTCACTCTGTTAATGCATACCCCGTAAAATTCTACTCCCCCCCTCTTACGGAAAGCCCTGAACCTAACTGGTAGTGCGCTGCAGAAGGCATCAGTTACAATTCTTTTAAACTGTAGTGAGCAAGAACTAGTCTGAGTACCTGATATGAATTGGTAGTCATGATCCAGTTTGTAAAACTAACATTACAGATTATTAGGGTTAAGAGTGCTTATGGTACCGGAGTTTCCATAGGACTGAATGTTAGTTGAGTCCTTTCTTCATTTTTGACCTCCTGATTTCTTACATGAGGCAGATGAGCAAGAAGAAGGTTGGTGAGGTGCATATAATAAAAGCAGCCTAAGGAAAGCTTTAGATCTGCTACTTCTGCTGTAAGAATCCTGTGGGGGAAAATAGGGCCTAATATCAGGGGGCTGGTCATCACTTCTAGCATATACCCTGTCCCCTTAGCATTTGCAGGCACTACCTTTTTTGGACCTGCAAGGGGTTGCAACACTTTCCTTTGGGTGACTGCCTCATCTGATTAATCACCCCTGAATGTTAATCATAATTCTTGCTTTTCTCAAGGGGATACTTCATAAGATGTCTTAATATGGACTCATTTTTTGACAGGAAATGGCATCGCTGCCTCTAGAGGAAACTTGTTTCAGTTGTTTTATGTATAATGGCTGGTGTGAACTTCTCTTTGTGCAGAGCTCACTGAAGTCTCTAGGTAGCTATATGAAAGACAGCTGGCAAACCGAAACTGAATGCTTCAAATACCTTCTGCATTTGCTTCTTGTGAAGCTGGGGTGAGGGGGGAACAGGACCCTTCTTGAGTTGCTGGGCTCTCCATGTCCTTTCTGATCAACTGACACTTCACTGAGAAACTTGTCTGGAAGAGGTAGCTCTGGCCCTGCTCCAGGTTATAAAGGAAACTGACTAAAAGCTTCCTCTAACTACGTCATCTCCTGGACTCTTTCCTGGCTTGGTACAGCTCAAACAGCCTTATTTGGCTGACTTGTTTTTCTGCCTCTGCACAGCAAGAGGGCCTCCCTGAATTTGCACAATAAAACTGTTATCTGTGCTTAATCATTGTTCTGAGGACTGCAGTGGGATCTGCTTCAAAAAGGGTTCCAAGATCTCAGCTTTAACTCCTGATCCCCCCCCCAGGTGTCTTGTTTGTCTACCTGCTAGATGATACTAGAAATCAACCTCATCCTGTGAGGAGCTTCCCTGCTGTTGTAGACATATTGCTGGAAAAGAGGAAATCCCTCCCTGCCTGGGAATAATCCAGGGCAATTAACTGATGTAAATGAAGAGCAGTAGTATGCAGCCAGTTAATTGCTTTCTTTTCCCTGGGGGTGTTTGAGAACGGCAGGAGTTTGTGTAGTGCAGGCAATATTACTGCATCAAAGAATTTTATTATTATTTTTTTTTTATCCCAACTGAAACATCTAAAGCAGGCTGAAGTCTAGATTAATGGAAAGCTACTCCTGGGTGAACCTCTTCATAACAACACCTATAGCTGTGTCTAGGTGGAGCATTCAAGTGTTCTGGAAGTTGTGGGCATAAAACCCATCCTTCTGACTCCAACAATTAATGCTGACTCTTACTGTAACACGTAATAGATTGTGCAGCAG